TGTCGATGGTTCGCCTGGAGTTACCCATGATCTTTTACGCTTAGGATTCTCAAAATATATTCACTTTTCATCGCCAGTCACAATTCGATGGAGAAATGACTTTCTTTTGTACCTGGCGAGCAACATTTCGCAAGTGGTTTTTCGGTTTTCCTGCTGTCTTTCATTCAGTTCATGTGGAACCCATTTTCCCATCTTCTGGATCTTTCCCATAGCTTTCAAGCGTATGGAGACGGCTTCTCGTGTCACATTTAATTGATCCGCGAGTTGTTTGTTGCATTTGAGCGTCATCCTCATCCAACAATGCTTGCAATTCGCTGTCTTCAAACTTTTTCGGTGGTCTTCCACGTTCTTCGTTTCTCACGTCAAAATCGCCATGTTTGAATTTTTTAAACCACTCAAAGCACTGTGATTTACCAAGAGCATGCTCACCGTAAGCTTCGACAAGCATTCGATGCGATTCTGCAGCAGTTTTCTTCAAATGGTAACAGAAAATCAATGCTGTCCGCAAATCATAGCTTCCAGGCACAAAATTCGACATGTTCAACGCTATTACAAGCTATACTGTTGTATGAAACTTGTATTGTTGTGAGTTGAAAATCCTTGTCAGATGTCAACAAATAGAAATGGCGCCAATGACGCGGTTTGACTGTAACTACATTAACAGCTAGGGCCATCTATGAGCAAATTCCGGTTTCATATTTACAGACCTGGTAAGAGGAAAATTAATTGATATAAAAGGGAATCCTCTTGAAACAAGAGGAAAATAGAATAATATCTAATAAATTTTAAATGAATGGTTCACTTTAATCATTTTATCGTAAGAAGAATCCTTTTTCTGTAAAAAGCTTCGCTTAGAATATGAAATTATGGGAAAAATCACTTTACAAATAGAATAATTTTTTTAGGTAAATGTACCGGCCCACAAATCAGCAGTTGCGATAGCGAAATTAATTTCACATCCACTGTACTTTACATATTTAGCCCCGTGCGATTTTTTTCTGTTTCCAAATTTTAACAAATGACTATCTGGGAAAAAATTGTCGTCAGATGTGAAGTGATAAGCACTGTTGACTATTTTTCGGGTTTAGACAAAAGTTATTATATTGAAGGAATGACAGATCTAGAAAAACGCTGGACCGAGTGTATTGAGCTGAAGGGAGGCTTTGTTGAAAAATAAATTTCATTTAGCTCAAAAAAGGCTTTTTTCTTAGTCAGGTCGGAAATTTTTCAATCTACCCTCGTATACGTAAGATTATTATCGTTAACCTTTTTAATAGAGAAATGATTGTCCATCACAATTCTCTCACTATGCGATCATAGCCACAAATAGCGAGCACTTTTTTCTCAGTGCAATATTGCACGACGAAGGAACGAAAGAAGAAGAAAACGCGCGTGCTACCGCGCGTTGTACATTTCGCCGAGAGCGAAGTTATTTAACTAAGATGAAGATATTCGACGGCCCGTCGACGGCGGAAGATCGCTCAGCGAGATAGAGATTTTCATTTGCGGATCAGTCCGTGAGATCGATGCGCGATTAACGCTGCCTTCGATCCAGCGGAAGAGAAGGATAATGTACGACTCGTTACTCGAAGCGACTCGTTTCGCGGCTCACCAAGGCAGACCGGTAGAAATGGCGTAAAATGGAAAGTGACGTAATTTTAAGTCTCCCTCGGATGCTGTCACGCGAGTAAGAGGAGACGATAGCCGGCTCTCGCACCTGTCACCACCTGTCCTCCGAGTACGGCGAGGCGCTGCTTCCCCGCGGCGAACACACGAGACTGAGGTCGAATAGTGATCCTGACCTTTCCTCCAGGATACGTCAATGCTCTCAAGGCTTATGTCCGTTACGATAAGACATTTATTAAAATGGAGAAAGAGAGAGAGAGAGAGAGAGAAAAGGAGAAAGGGAAGAGAGAGGTGGAAATATCATCACTCTGGCTATCGATAGACCGTAATTACGGAAAATTACCTAATTGCCGCCATCATTTCCTCGAACACGTGGCATTGTCTAGATCGACGGCAACAGTATGCTGCGCGATCTGCAAACTTTCTACGAGCGAACCTTCGGGAGATCTTCGCCGCGCACGAAGTACATTTTTCACTCGATCGGAGCGCGACATTTTTGTAGGACGATTTAGAAAAGAAAATCACGCGGCTCGCGCGATATTCTCGCGGCGCGGCGCAGCGGCCGTCGAGGCATACGGTTGATCAGCGGTTGAACTTTGCAGTAATATAAATAGCGGGCCGTATATCATATTAATTTCCACCTCGCAACGGCTATATTATCTGAATTATGTTCCTCACGATAACGCATTTACACAGGAATGATTACACTCCCCGCTTGACCCCGCGAGCAAGCACGAACAGATCGCAGATCTGCGGCTATAAAACCAGGAATTACCACTTACCTGGCTTAGTCATTTATTAGACACGGTATTAACATTTTTTTTCCACGCCGCAGCGAACCTCACGCTTATCGAGGCACACAATTTCCATCGAAATATCATGCGACACGCGTGCCGGCCCGCGTGACGGCTTATTTGCGCGCCGCGCGCTTTAATTATATTACTCTGTAAGACAAGATCGGAGTCCCCGCGAGGGGACGACTGGTCACGTAACCGCGATCTCTCTAGCGAAGACGCGGACGACAGGCGATAAAGAAAACGTCAGAAAAAGAAAATCAGAATCGTAACGTACGAACGCGCGACTCGTGGAGGGAAAAAAGAGGAAGGGAAGAAAGAAGGAGAAGAAAACGCGCGGATACAGCCATCGCGGCATTCTGAAATCGAGCCAATCAACTCGAACCGCATCGATGCGGTAACACGCGAGTACAAGAGACTCCGAGAGAAAAGAGAGAGAGAGAGAGAGAGAGAGAGAGAGAGAGAGAGAGAGAGAGACGAAGTCCGCTGTCGAGAGAGGGAAAAAGCAATACGGTTAACGGTAGCTCACTCCGAGTGGGTATGCTCGCTAAAGCGAGCTTTAATAGGCCGAGTCCTGGCGAGGTGAATAAGGACTCGCGACGTTCAACGCCGAGCTTGGCTAAATTATCGCTTACGTTCGTTTCGAGCGACGCTTTCGGTTCATCACCGCGAGACGCGGATTTCCATCGAAACGCTGGGCTTCATCATCGCCGGACGGATGGAAAGAGGCGAGCCCGTCGTCCATGTCGTCGTTTTACGAGTACGGAGGCTCGTCGCCGGTAATTGGTTTGTGTGATGAAAGCACTTCTGCCCTTTCTCCGACGTGTGTCTGGCGGACGCGCGAGGCGACGTGTCTCGATCGGCGAACTGCCGGGATGCCGGGCCGTTTGATGCATCAATTAAACGCGGAGCGTTTGCGCGAAGTGAAGGAAAGCGCGCTCTCTACGTGCACGGTAAGTATCGGTCATTTATCAGATCTCATTGTGCGCTGATCGATCGCGACCTTCGATCACGGCCCGAGACACGCCGATGATCGCGGCGGATCGACTGCACTATGACTATCAGGAAGAGAGCGAGCCAAGGTTACAGAGCGACCTGCGGGTTATTAACTTGAGCTCTATGAAGGCGATTACGTTTACAGTTCGCGCTGTTACACGCGGGAGACTTCCTCATCCGCACTCTCGGCCCACAAAATCGTCCCACGAATTTTATCGGCACTCATTTTATGCGTTGGAGTCGTCTTAATTAATGCGACAGAATGAGAAAACTCGATGATCTCCGATATCGCGGTATCGGGAACGTTCGTCCGAACATCCGGCAGTGTTGAAACCCGCGATTGTAAAAAAGTATGAGCATCCGACTGAATAGAAACCTCCGTCGGGTTCTTACGTGGACTTCAGACAATGGAACATCAGCCAACCGAGCGGAATTTCTTTTTTCCTCGCAAAGAAAGCTGTCGATCTACGCTAGGACTGTTACTTTTCAACACCTTCGAATATTCGAAGCTTCGAAAGACTCGAAAATACGAAGGAACCTTCGAATATTCGAAGTTTTGAAGGATTCGAAGAAATGAAGGAACTTTCGAACATTCGAAACTTCGAAGTCATCAAAGGAATGATGGAAGCTTCGAGGGATTCGAAGAAACGAAGGAACAATCGGCTAAAATAGCTCATCCGATTTTCAACAATATTAGATATAATTTTATAAATAAATATGTATGACAGATAATAATTTTATAATAAATGTACAATAAAAGTAAGAAAATTAAAAAGAATTCATAAGTAACTAAACGCAGTTCACCAAAAGAAAACCGTAAAGATGCAAGACACTTTAGGCGAACTATCATCAGACTCAACGTCTTAATAAATATTCTTATTATTTATAGAATTATAATATAGCAAACTATATATGTTATATATGATTTCTACATATTTTTTGTCATAAAATTGAATTACAAGTTCACTTTTACTTTAAATTTACGTTTCATAATGAAAAAAATGATAAAATAGCGACTTTTTAAAATTGTTAATAATAAAAAAAAACTGACCGTTTTTCGACTTCGTAACCAAGAAATTTCGTTTTAGCGCATCAAAAACCTGAAGATATCGAACCTAAAACTTTATACTCAGATGTCACCAGCGCCCGGACTAAATTTTTTTTGGAGGAGCTTCGGTATTCGAAGCTTCGAAGCTTCGAATATGAGTTACAGCCCTAATCTACGCAGAGGATCATCATTTAGTCGGCGCCCGAATCGCGAAAAATCGCTCGGATCCCGGCGGAGCACCTGCCCGCTCGCGTAAAACCCGAAATATAACGTTCGAACAACGTTTTCTTTTTATGTATAAAACACGCGGCGAGATCGATCGCGCGAGACCTATCATCATTATCGGCGCACACGGGGGGAAGGATCGTGATGGGCCCGGCAGACGTTCGGCCCGGCCGCCCAAAGTGGAGGAGAGCCTGGGCTCGACTTCTTGTTTCGACATTAACGGAACGGCGTTCCTGAATATCGGCGTTAACCCCGAGGGGACTCGCCGCAGCATCAGCCGGAGGGTAGGGGACCGTACATATAAAGGAGAGAGCCCCGTGCTCCGGGGCCCCAGTACCGTTCAAAGATGCAGGCTGCCGGGACGTTACGTGGTACCAGGGCCATCTCTCTTCTGATATTGCTGGTACCTCTCATTGGCTACGCCTGTGAGTAGAAACGACGTTCGAAACACCCGCCCAGACCCGCGGGAGCCGATCGTGTGGTCGCATTGTGCAGGATCGCAGTAGTGTGTTGTGCAGTGAGATCGCAATTCGGGATTACTATTCAGTGCGCTACCTCTCAAGGATACTTCCGCGCGGCGACTGCCGAGCGGGCGGCGTCGCGAATGCTAGAATTTCCCCGATACGGAGCATCTCATGCGAGTCGCCTCCTTCCAGACTCGCGAAAAATACGAGCCAAATTGAAGGGTGTTTTTTCGCGCGATACGAAGTATCCTCGTCTGCCAATCGCGCGCGAGTGATGATCGACGCCGTTGACTGCCGCGCCGATTCCCATCGTTCGTCGTTTTATTCGTCCAATAACGCGGTAGATCGCAGCGCGATTCACGATGCGTATGTTCGCTGGAGCTCGTTTCATTGGCGTTATATTTTATCCGTCGGACGCCACAGTGACGGTCAGCGTGTCAAAAAAAAAGATATTACTGCATCAAGTTTCTCGAGGTGACGTGTAGACGACGATCGTCCTTTCGCCGGACTTTGCTTCCGGATTGAAATTGAATTAAAATTTGGGACATGGATATTCGAGACTAAAGACTTCGAGATATTGAAAAAGAAGAAAATGGGAAGAGGAAGAGGAAGAACGTATTCTAGAATATATCAGACTCGTTTTGCGACACGACGAAATTTCACACAGTTACGCGCATTGTATCAATATTCGGTACGAAATGAGAGAGATAGGCCGATCACAGCGTGACGAAGGGGATTAAAGCGATTTAGCGAAATTGCCGGTTGCTACTTGCACATCATCCACACGTGGTGGGATCTAAATCACGCATCACCTACCGAGCGCTTGATCTAGCTAATGCGTATGCACGCGATTAAATATCCGCGTTGCTATCATAGCCAATAAGCTCGCCTTGCCGAGTACGCATTCCCAACGCAATCATCCGTGCTGAATAAAGCACTGGCGGCTCTCTCACCGCCCGCTCTCATCCCAGCCTGTTCGATTTCTTTTAGATTCGATTCCTCTCCAATACTTGCCTAGCATCCCGGGCTACGTTCCGGTTTATATAAGGTACGGAGATGAGCCGTTGGAGGATATAAATCCCGAGTTGGCCGAAGCTTTCGGGGAGGCGTCGAGTTCGGCTAAGGTACTGATGATCCGACTAAGTGCGCGCTTTAAATCGCGAACAACCGCTGCAACGCGAGAGAAACGCGTCGATTTCTCTGAAGTAAAATCATACAAGCGTGCGCCGTGTCGAGATCGCGACGACTCAGCTATTAACTTTATGTCCCAAACTTTACAGCTAGACAGCACGCTCGCTCATGTGTCCGACAACTTTAAGGACAATGATATAGACGCGCTATTGGAAGAGGAGTCGGGGAAGCACGCTTATCCGCTACGCGTTAGAGCAACGGAGAGCCGTTCGTTTACTACTGCTGACGATGACAGGCAATCGAACAAGCCGAAACTTTTGACTATCTATGAATTACCCGATGACAATGACAACAGACGTAATCGTAGGCGTAATCGAAGCAGAAACAGGATGAAAACCAGGAGAGAGCCCGCAATTAAGGTAACCGTATAATTAATTTAAATAATTTAATAAATAATAATGTATAAATTAGAGTGCGTGTTGACGATAAAATAATAAAACAGTAGACGAATAATAAAATAGTTTCGCCCAAATAAATTTAGTTAAGGTAAAATATTAATTAAATAAATGAATCGAATGTGTTAGGAAGGAATTTTTTGGAATAATTTTTATTATTTTCAAAGATAAATTTGGGCAATTAATCTCTCTCTTTCTTTGTCCCCCCCCCCCCTCTCTCTCTCTCTCTCTCTCTCTCTCTCTTTCTTCGCCTGCACTATAGAGATTATATAAAATCAGCCTGATGACTCACTATAAATCGCATCCTCATCACCTCGTAATACTTTTACCATTAAAAATAAAGATTGCTTATTGCGTAAAGCGCGCCGCGCGCGACAAACAACGACTCGTTTATTCCGTTTTATTCCGAGAAGAGGAGGTATTACTAATTTGAATATATTGCATTTTCGATTTCTACACATCCATCTCGATTGACGTCCGCGTATTATCTACAAGGGAGATCTCTGAGTCACCTGACGTCGTTTGTCGCTTCATCGATACGCGGCGACGCGCTTAAAGATCCTATCTACGCATGATTGAGCTTCGTAAGATGGACTGTAACGCCGTGATGCGTAAACGAACAAGCATCCTTAATTTATTCCCGGCAAACGTGAAACAGGCGCCTATGATAAACAGCTTTATTCGTCGCAATTTTTGAAGATCTTAATAAATTAAAGGAATAACCGGTTTCAGATATCCGCGATTTTTAACATCGTGGACAAGAGTTTGGCTTCCTATTTGATATAATATAAATATATTATTCTTTTCAATGACTACATTCCAAGCGGATTCGAATGAAAAAATATCAAAAAGGACACGTTAAAATTAAAGCAGGAAACTATTCCATAAAATGTACCATAGAAATAAGTATTTCGATTTTTCTTTAAAATTTGTCCAACGCGTATATGTAGTTATCATTTGTAAAAGTCACTTTATCTCACGATTACAAGATGCTCGAGAAAAGATTTGAAATTTCTTGGAATTGTGTATCACAGATAAATGCTAAGGATAAACTTGTGAATTATTGCTGAGTTAAGGCTCTGCGGTTTTGTAATTTATGCTTATTTCTATATCATTAACCTTTCTCTCTTTTAGTTTTGATCCGCAACGTGAGTGACAGCCTCCGGCAAAATTTTCGATTTAATTGATTAAAGAGAATTGATGCATAAACATGAACAAGATAGTTTAAAGGAAAATATATAGAGTGTCCCATTTTTAAAAATGCATTAGTCCTCGATAATTCTTCAACGAAACATTTTCAGCAAAAATGTTTCGAATAAAAGTTATGTGATTTTAAAGGAGATATAAAACAACTATACTATTTTATTTACAAATGGCACCACTTCCTAGATATTTACTGATTATTAGTTTTCTTAAATAGAAACCCCCATTTTTATTGCACTGTCTTTTTCTACCAATTAATTTAAACAACTTTTGTCTGAAACATTTTTTTATTTGCCTAATATTTTTTTAGAAATTTAAGAAAACCTGATAACTTTTTCAATATTTAACTCACAATATCTCGTTATTTGTCGGAAGAAAAAGTGGTGCTAGATTTTTTGCTCTATTTGATCTTAAGAATATATTGTTACAATAGCGCCCTGACTTTTGTTAATTTGATGATTTTAAAATTTCCAAAAATTGAAAGAAAAAGACGATGTAATAAAAAATTAGGATTTCCATTTAAGAAAAATAATAATTAGTGAATATCTCGAAAGTGGTGCCATTTGTAAACAAAATAGTACAATTGTTTTATGTCCCTCTTGAAATCATATAACTTTTGTCTGAAACAGTTTTGCTGAAAATGCTTCATTGAAGAATTATCGAGGTGCGTTTTTTAAAATGGGACACTTTATATATCTTGTTATGTACTTCATAATTTTTATATATAATGTGAAATGAGGGGTGTCTTGTATACGTGAAACATTTCGCAGGTCAGCCCATTGTCCGATGCGGAGAGAGACGAGTTGGAAAAGTTAGCTATCGAAGTCGAGAAAGAGGAGACTAAACCAAATGAACTCTTTGTGCCGAGTTCCAAGTCTTCCGAATTACCTCACGCGACGACACGCAATCGACATAGAGCGCACAAATTTATCTCACCGATAAAAGTGCAGAATCCACTCGACGAATCCTCGACGGATCTCCCAGAAATCCCTCAAGTTGAGGCTCGCTCGAAATCCTCGAACAATCGCAATGTTGCTGCATCCAAAACAGGTAAAGAAGCAACTGCTCGTTGTAAAAAATAACTTCTAGCTATATATACTCATACATATACACATATGCAGATAAAACTTCTTTCATTGATCTTCCAGACAAAAGTGAGACCGATGCTAGACCTAAAGCTGGCAAAAGGGAACCACCTATCAAGGAGCAACGTCCAGCTACAATTTTGTCGAATGTAGAGAAACTTTCGCCCATCGATTTGCCGGACAAAAGTACAGCCGAAGAAAATAAAACGAGGAATTCCACAGAGACGAACGACGAGGTTGCGATGGAGTAGACGATCACCTTTAGGTCAAATTCTTTTTTATAACTTATTTGTTGTAGTGATACAAGGCCGGAGAGAAAAAGAAAACATCAGCATTTTCTCTCGTCATCAGTTGTTCGATGAATTCAGAGTCGATTTTTCTCAGCGGAAAATTCATGGGAAGCTGCAATTTGACTGCAATATCTCAATCTGCAAGATTAAACAGTGGTTAAGTTCACCTATCCAAAATTTGATATTTTTTCATGTAATTACGATATGATTGAGAACCTCCTATCAATTTGCCACGAAGGGAAAACTTGGTCTAAATTCGTCGGAAGGCCTATAGCCAGAGAATAATGTGATTGGTCGTGGATATTATGTGTATTACAAAGAAACAAGATCCAGGTAGAGGAGTCACCTGCGTGAAGAAGAAGCGCGCCTTTCCACGAGTTTTAGTTTGTACTATTTATGACGCGATGACCTATTTGAGGCATCCCCAAGAATATATTTCACTGCACAGTGGGCATTACGGTCTCCTTGGTGGCTGTTACTGCTTCCGTGCTTGTAAAGTTTGTTTACACATTGTAAATTATAGTAACGATACGACAAGCATTGTGTAAAGTTACTAGAACGTTTCTAATAAAGCGCTGCCGCAGATTATGAGGAAAAACTCGTCTGCTATGTTTCGTATTTTTCTTACCTCAATCTTTCAGTAAGCATAAGTAGCCAAATATAAAAGTACAGATTGCAGTTAATGTTGTATAAAGATTGTCCAAGGGAGTAACGCAAATAAAGCAGCATATTTACACACATAATATAGAACATTTATTAAGATAAAACGTTTCTAGGATAAAACATGCATTAAATAGTGTCATTATAATATGCCTGCAACAAAACGTGTTTTACATATTCTTCTTGTCCGATCTGTTTGAGAAAACAGATTGTCGTTGAATTTACAACGGCTGAAATAAAATTTTTTAAACATAACAGATATTAAAAAAAAAGATAGCCTGATACTTTCGTTATCTCATTGATTGCTCATGCAAACGACCTCATCTTGCATATTTCACAATTCGCGTCGTCGATTACGAATCTCGTAGTTCTCGCTGTCAGGTTTTAAAGCTAAAATAACTTCAAAAATACGTAGATTGTTCTCGGTAAAAGGAAGGGAAATGTTGTTCAATTTAAGAAACAATCTGTCGTTGACATTCACGTTCAATCTATTCCTATGATCACGCCAGAACCTTTTACTAGCGAGAAAAAATGTATTGTTTCCAATCTGACACGTATATGAAGGAACGTACTCCTTGATATCCGTTACGTAAATATCTCCTTTGGTACCACAGCGAATAGATCGTTGCCTGCTTCTGTTGTTTGACGCGTGATTCGAAATATTAGTAGGAAATAACTGGAGAGATATGTTCGGAGTCGTTCGCGTAGTTTCCACGGTATTATTTGTAAAATTACTGCTGTTTTGCAAGTATGTAGATTGTCCTCGCGTATCGTTAATCCTGTTTTCTCTCAAACGTCGTGCGACACCGATGATACCCTCGTCGGCTATTCGAACATTAGCAATCTTCGACAGAGTAGCGATCATGCGTGTTCTTTTTCGATAGTCCTCGGAGAACATTCTTTTTCCCATATTACGTCCATGACGCTTCCTGGCGATCGCTTCTCGATGATCCAAATGGGCAGGAACCTTTTGAGTTTTGATTGACGCTTCAGCAGCATCGACATTTAATGACGATCCGAGTAGCTCTTCTTGAGCACCGATGTTCGCGCTATCGATCACTCTGTCTGTCCATCGTTGATATTCTACGTAACTCGCCGGTAATGCACGGCTACGCACCAAGACGAAACTCGATGGTTTCAGTAGAAAGAGAATCACTAACCAATGTCTCAACATCATCTTAGACCAATCGGTAGAATCTCTCGTGTCAATAGTACTTTACATTCGCACTAGCTCTTTGCCAGAAATTGAAGCGCACAGCTTATAATGGTTACGGCTACGACATCGCAGAAGACACTGACTGTGACAAAGAAAGAAGGAAGCTCATGCGAACGTGAGGACACACACACAAACAAGACGTCTGGGGGGATGTTATACTTCGTGCACCTTAACTTCCTGCGTCCACTGACCAGATCTTCGCTTTGCGCGTCGCTCACGCACACAAAAGACTGAAAATGTATCTGCATTTTTCGTGGCATATCATCGACAGTAAAACTCAAAGTGTCTCACTTCTTTGTATAAAAACGAATACATAAATATATTCCATCATCAATCATTATTTTTTTGTTAAGAAACAAAATTAAATAAGTATGACTTTTAGTGCAATATTTGAAACAGCAGTTAAGAATAAAGTTTAATAAATAAAACTGTTGGAAGAAGATTAATATTTCTAGCACAAAATGTGACAGAAAGCAAACATGTGACATGTACAACAGAGTCGAGCACCAATTATAAATTAACAAAATACGAGTGACAACGTCTTAATATTAATCTAGATCTGAAATATAATTAAGCTCCTCGCAAACCGCAATGATGTGTACGTCTTCTAGTTATGGAAAAATTAAAGCTGAGACCGATTGATGCGAAAACGATAAGTTATCGGATATAAATAATAAAACATATGAAGAAAAGTCGAAAAATTAAGATCGACTAATCGAAAATGGTGGATCATCCAATTTAAATTAACAAGTTATATGAATGATAAGATATCAAACAAGATTTAAAATAATTAAAATCCACATTAATCTAATGTTCCATATTACAAAACTGTGAAGTCTGAAATATCAATGGATTTTTTGAAAAATCAGTGGATAAAAAATGATAGCTTATTGTAACGCAAGCAAAATATTTATGATAAATGATTATACTATGTATTATAGAAGCCATATGTGAATAATTTTCCTAAAACCCTAATTAATATAGCTTTTCGTATAGCTAAAGTAAAAATTGGAAATTTCGTAATGGAATGCGGTTTGCTATCATGTCGGCTGTGCAAGCGCGCGCCATCTACCGAGAGCGTATGGATACACAGAGCGGAGATCTTTATGTCCGACGGCGTCCGTTTAAGAACGACGAAGCCTTACATGGGCGATGAGTTCAAAGAAACATAAAAACTTCGAAAAGGACGTGTTTGAGTCAAAAGTAATATTTCTGCTGACTGTTCAGAGTGGGTTAACCAAATGTGCGTTTAAAATATCGTAAACTATTAGGAATAGAAATATCAAGAGATATTGAATGGATTGTTTAAGAATGTTCGAATGAGATTTTAATACGTTGTTTTACCATGACCACTCATTTTTCTTTGGCAAAGTAGAAAAACATGACACGCGACATACATTGCGATGTGTGCAAACAATTCCAAATTTTTATAACATGAGTATAAAATAAACTTACCCCTTAAGGGGATGTTGAAGTCGTCAACGAACTTGCAAAGCGTCGATAACGTGGAGGCGATCGTCAAAATGTAGGGAACGTTATCATCCGTTATCAACGTTAATGAATTTTGGTACACATATGTGTATATATATTTACATAGTATTTATATAGTAAAGACAATTGCCGGATAAGCGCTGATGCGATTACGCTATCCTTTCATCGCATTTTTCCACATATCTGAAATTCCTGCATTCGGAGTACAGGACACGATACTTTATGCTAAAACAAACAACTTTTTCCTTTAGCAAAATTGCGTCCGACAAGTAGTTTTTGCAGGAGAGCGTGTTAAATTTAATGAATAAGCGCTCTTGTCTATGTACCACAAACCAATACCACAAACTTTTATCACAACACTTAATCATAAAATTTAACTTCACATAGTCACATATCTTGACACAAAATTTAACCTCGATACTCCCGGCAATGTTTCGTACTCTCGAGACTCTTTTCGAAACTCTTTCGGAAAACTGAATACGATTTTAATTTCGAATTGCTATTACGCGACAAACGTGTTGAAACTTCACTTGACACTTTCGACAATCCGGTTCCGCTAAACATTCACTTCCGACGCTTACTTAACTAATCTGTTCTTTTCAACTGCATTGCTGAACCAGTGCAATAGAGTGAGACAACTACATTTTTTCTCATTCCAGCTTATCGCACCAGTGCAACAGTGCAGTTAAAAAAGAAACGTATAAATAACTTCTCGAATCCATGCACTAAGCGTTGTAATCCGTTATATTGATATTGCGACGATCACAATTTTCAATATGCATGTAACTCGGTGAACGCTCACTAACCAATCACAATGTTTCGTTCGAAACCGAGCATTCAAATAGTCGACCATGACAGAAAAATCTTACGAAACTTCACTGGACACTCGCGACGAACAATGTCCATTTCCAGCAAATATTGAACGCTATTATGTCATGCGTTAGATATTAATATCTAACGGTAATTCACGCATAAGGCTGGAAGACGTAAAACAGTCAGCGAATCGAAAACGTGAAACTCAGCGACGCGAGATCAGATACATAGCGAACGGGCAGAACTTTACTCGGCACTGCGACAATTCACTGCACGGTTGTTTAACGACATTTCGTCGTAACACACGAGCGAAACTCACTTTCGGCACTTCCGGTAACGATGATTGAGACGCGTGATTCAATTATGGCGAGTCAAAATTACGGGAAATCACGGGCAACCGTTCTTCACACACACTTTATCCCGCAGCCCGCGATGTAACTGATCACAAATATGAACAACGCAGCGATTGGACAATTGAACCAACCAATCACACTAATTCGTTTCTTTGCCCGATTAGCGCTAACTTCAAATCTGAGATGCACGGAATGTTCAGGATAATTCTGATATTCGTGACATTAACGTATTGTCAGAACAAAATCACAAATTTCTCAACATTATTGGAAACTCGAATTTTCAAAACACTCATTATGTCTTTATATCTTCCTTTAAATGTCTCAACACAATTTATTTTATATTATTACCCGGTCTAATCATATTAGTCAATATTCGAACCAAATATGGACGTGCTGTCATCTGCACAAGGATTATCGTACTGCGTTAGAAAGCAGCCAACTTTAGATTGTTATAATTCCGAACTACTCACAGTGTTGCCAGCGATGGTACAGTCAGGTGAGTCAGGTGCAACGAAATACGTGCTGTTCTTTTTCGAAAAAGAATTGGTGCAATTAGTTAGAATGAAATCAAATATGCTTGTCTCACTTTAACCTATTACACCAGTGTACACCAGTTTAAACAGTTCTTCAGGAAAGAACAAACTTAAAGCCAGCGGCACACGGTGCTTGTTTTCGTGCTGGATTGCTTGCTGGATGAAAATATTGCATTCTGATTGGTGCATTTCCATCCATCTTCGAAAATGCACCAATCAGAACGCAGTATTTTCCTCCAGCAAGCAATCCAGCACGAAAACAAGCATCGTGTGCTGCTGGCTTCATTGATAAATTTATATATAAACAGCATTGATCGCTGTTTCTTCTGGATGCGCTCGGTCTCTATCGGACTCGGATCTGTTGAAAATGCTGAAATATGAATATATGTTACGCTGTGTCTCGAAATTAGGCCTGTTCGTTCGCAGTGCAGATAGCACTGCTGAACTGGTGCATTAAGTTAAAAGGTCTGTTTTTTATTGCTGAACTAGTATACACTCAGGGAACATAAAAAGAAATAGATATACATCTAGGAGTTAGTGAAAGGGAGAGGAGAAGAGAATAAGTGCAAGTTAATGCAGTCAGTTCAGCAATAAAAAACAAACCTAAAGTGAGAATTTCATTGCACTCGACTGTACTGTACTGCTCTGGATCTCTAATGTTGTTTACAAAAGGTGAGAGGAAAATGAATGCAAATATAGGAAGTGCAGTCCGACGAAGTCCAATGAATGTATAGTGCAGATGCGCTGAGCAAAGTGAACAATAGCTTTTTCCAGCGTGAGAAATGTGATTCTTTTTTGGACTACTTAATGTTGCATATGTAGAGGAGTGAATTTATCTGTAATCTTTTTGCGTAAGTAATACATCGTTTTCATTGATATTTAATTAGGTAGCACACACATTACGATTTTAATTATATAGTAAATTATCGTTGATAAAAATATGAAAATAATTACATGTCTAATTTCACGTGATATAATGTGATATTTAACCTGTACAATAGTGGATACCTTTCGAGAATAATCCATGTTCCGTCATATTTTTTGGTAATGATACTTAAAATACTTGGCATCAACATTTTTAATCCTTTACATTGTATCATTGTCTCTTCCAAATGTATTTTTTTTTCATGAGTTGTAAATATGTTCTAAGCATGTAGTTTGATTAGATCGATTTCAGAATATTTACTTGGAAAGTAAAATTTAGAATTTTACTTGAAATAATTTTGAATTTCATCAAAAAATGGGTGAATAGAATGGATCGTTTTAAAACATTTATTCTGATTGATTTTTGTTTCAGCAAGATATATTATTTAACTGAAGATAATTATTTTCAAATAAAACAACATGGCTGGACAACAACATCCTTTCTTGTCTGGTTTTCCCAATGTACAGCAAACAGCTTTGCGTACACAGTTTGGTGGTGGACAAATGGTTTCTGGTTTAATGGGATCACAGCAAGGAAGTGAGCGCTTAACAATTTTATTCTAATTACAGCTGTAATATTTGAAAACTAACAATTTCGATTCATCATGGAATATTGAACAGACATTATAATAGATCAATTATTCGACTGACCAGTTCTTAGATTGACATTTATGATTAATATATTTGTCTACTGGCATATTCAAGTGGCATGAGTTTTGATTCAACCAGAGATGATTAAATCCAGTTTCTTGGAGCAAACATATAAGCTTTGGATAAGCTTTATAAATGGCTAATGGAACTTTATGATGTCATTAATTGACCCTGGGTAGGTTAAAATCTGTGCCATTTGAATACACCATATGTCTAATATATACAATATCCGTAACAGTTTTGGGAGTCAAATAAAAATAAGAATTTTGAAATGAAACAAAATATTTTTATTACAGACATAGTAAATCCTCAACAATTTGGTATGGGAGTAGGTGTTGGGGTGGGTGTTGGTAATGTTGGTTCCAACACAATGGGAATGCCCAGTTCTCAACAGGTTTTGGCACAGCAGCAGCAACAACAGCAGTCCATTGCAATGCAACAGCAGATGCAGCAGATGCAACAGCAACAGTTACAACTGCAACAACAACAACAAGCCGCAATGGTTCAACAGAATAGTCAGGCCAGCAATCAAGCCACAACACCACAGACTCCAGTTCCACCTACTCAGCCACCACCACAACCACAACAAAATAAGGAATTCAATACTGCTAGTCTATGTAGATTTGGACAAGAAACAGTGCAAGAAATCGTCAGCCGTACTTTAGAACTTTTTCAAACTCTTAAACTGGTGCAACCACCTAATGGTACTTTTGCGTGATACAATGATAACATAGTTTTTTTCTGTTTTAAAGAATGGTCATATTTAACTATTAGATATTATACAAATATTTTTACAAATTCGCAGGTACAACACAAGGGGCAAATATGGCAAATGAAAAGAAAACCAAGGTTTATGAACAACTGAGGATGTTAAAGATGTTATTCAAGCGTTTAAGACTAATATATGAAAAATGTAATGAGAATTGTCAGCTACAAGGTATGGAGTATACACATATAGAAAGTTTGATTCCATTGAAGGAAGATTTGGAAATTATGAAATCGGATGAAAAGAAGCCTTCGGAAGCTTACAGACTTGTCTGTGAGGAGAGCAAAGAAGTTGTGGAGGTTAGAATGCCAAGTCAATTACGTATGCTACCATACTATCATCTTATTAAATCCAAATAGAAAAGTAAATGTTTTCTTTTCAGCAAGTAATATTGAAAAATAGGCATCTTAAGGAAATAATTGACCATCTGCGACGTATTATTTCGGAGATAAACACGATGCTGAGTATGCGGCGATCTTAGAGGCTACCAAATGTACCTAATTTCAGTTTAGCACAAGACATCCCAAAACCACTTAACATATTTAAGATATTTCGAACAATGTCTTAGGATATCTTGTACTACCTGAAAATTATTTCTGTATAAATAATATTAGAAGCGTTTCCGAAAGTATAACTAATTAAATAAGATATTTCTGGTGAATTATTTTATGATACATACTCATCCTTTTGTCATGTTACTCTTATTCTACTTTCCATTGGTCGATATTGATGTCATCGATGTTTAAGTGAATAACATCGCTACCTCGAACAATAGCTTCTGGAACTTTTCCAATTGGCGTCTCCAAATTTCTCACGAGAATCTCGGAAAATTCCACATCGCAACCCCTGAATTCACCCGACACACATGTATTTTCGTACAGATGAAATTCTGCTTGCTTGCCTATTGTAATATTTAAATATTTGGTTTATCAGCTGCTAATGATAAATGGTAAACAATATAACAAATGACTCAACGAATCAATATTAATGACAGTTAACATATTCTTCTCCAGCACTATCTCTCTAGTATTATCGGTAAAATTGTAACTTTCAAGGACAACAATAGAAAGGAAAACAATGACTTTAAGTTTAAATATATATTTGCACGTATATGATCGCGAGGATATTTCTCATATGAGCAACAATGTTTGAAACTTTTTGTTGTGGCGCATAATATAGACTTGCCCTCGATCGGCATCATGTTTGAACGATCTCAAAAAAATACATAAGCATTAAAATTTCAACCGTTCAAACCGTTTTCAAACCGTATACCGTTTATCAAATGTCATAATGTTTTAACGTCACAATTAAGATTACTTTCATAATGTTGGTATGGTTATGTAACGCTTAAACATCGTAAGAAATTCTAATAAATACATAAAGATATACCAAGTTTTCCAAAAGTAACGGACTCCCCCCCCCTATCTCCGGATCTATGCATTATTGGGAAAAATGACCCGAACAAAAGTTTTAGGGTTCATAAAGTTCTGCTCTTTTGTGACCTCAAATTTGACCTTGACCTCGACCTTGAAGGTTATTCGAAGGACAACTTGCGTTTTTTAAATGGGAACCCCTATTTTTTATTACACTGTTTTTTTCTACCAATTAATTTGAACAACTTTTGTCTAAAATATTTTCTTATTTGCCTAATATTTTTTGAGATATTTGAGGAAAATTTGATAACTTTTTCGATATTTAACTTACGATATCTCGCTAACTATTTGTCGGAAGAAAAAGTGGTAGACTTTTTTGCTCTACTTGGTCTCAAGAATATATTGTTACAATAGTGCCCTGATTTTAGTTAATTTGATGATTTTGAAATTTCCAAAAGTCGGTAAGTTAACAAAAGTCAGGGCGCTATTATAACAATATATTCTTGAGTATATTTTTGAGTATATTATAACAATATATTCTTGAATATATTCTTGAGATTAAATAGAGCAGAAAAGTCTAGTACCACTTTTTCTTCCGACAAATAGTTAGCAAGATATCGTAAGTTAAATATTAAAAAAATAATCAAGTTTTCCTCAAATATCTTAAAAAATATTAGGCAAATAAAAAAATATTTTAGACAAAAGTTGTTCAAATTAATTGGTAAAGAAAACAGTGTAATAAAAAATAGAGGTTTCCATTTAAGAAACGCAAGTTGTCCTTCGAATAACCTTCAAGGTCGAAGTCAAGGTCAAATTTGAGGTCACAAAAAACAGAACTTTATGAACCCTAAAACTTTTGTTTAGATCAGTGCCCGGAATTACTTGCACGGTCGGGCCGATTTCTGAGAGCTACGCCTCCTTACTTCCCCTTACCGCTCCAGCCCGCACGGCGGACCAAGAAACTGACAGTCGCGAGGCGCTGTCTCAGGCACGTCACATGAGACAGTCACATGAGACGCTTCATAGTTTAACATAGCTGAAATTAATTTATTTATTAAAACAACTCCATAGGCATTTTTTATAATTTACTAATATAATATAGTTTTAATATTAATATAAATATATATTAATAGAAATATTAATATAAGTAATATTCTTAATATAACTATAATATACACTGTATACACTGTAATATTCTTAATATAACTATAATATACAGTGTATATTATAGTTATATTAAGAATATTACTTATATTAATATTTCTATTAATATATATTTATATTAATATTAAGACTATATTATATTAGTAAACTATAAAAAATGCCTATGGAGTTGTTTTAATAAATAAATTAATTTCAGCTATGTTAAACTGTGAAGCGTCTCATGTGACTGTCTCATGTGACGTGCCTGAGACAGCGCCTCGCGACTGTCAGTTTCTAGGTCCGCCGTGCGGGCTGGAGCGGTAAGAGGAAGTAAGGAGGCGTAGCTCTCAGAAATCGGCCCGATCGTGCAAGTAATTCCGGGCACTGGTTTAGATCATTTTTCCCTATAATGCATAGATTCTGAGATAGGGGGGAGGGAGTCCGATACTTTTGAAAAACTTGGTATTTCTGATATTCATTTCATCGGCATTCATGTTAACGAGAATAGCGGGAATTGATTGGAACATTTCGTGGGTTTTGAAAGAACAAAGTGTGCGAAGAGATTAAATGAAATTTTACATACCGACAATACCAGTGACAACGCGCAGGAATCGTTCGCGTAAAAACGCACGGGCCTGCTGCTTCTCTGGAGACGCAAATCCCACATTGGTCATGTTCGCGTTGGAAACTGCACTACCATGTTCTTGTTGGGTCATTTTCTGTTGTAAGGAATTCTCAGCTGATACAACGTATACACGCTGCGTTCCGAAATTCACTGCCAGTACTGAAAATATATAATTTATGTCACGTATACTATAGAATTTCAGCGTTAGCAGTGAATATCGGAACGCAGCAACAATATTGAACTTTGGTCTGTTCTTTTCTTCTGCACCGCTGCACTAGTGCAATAAGTTAAAGTGAGACAAGTATATATTTGTCTCACTCGAACTTATTGCATTAGTACAGCGGTGCAGAAGAAAAGAACAGACCTCTTATGTCGGACTCCGCTAGTAAGAAGTTTGCCCGCACAATGGAAAAAGTTACCGCCATATTTGAATTCTTACGAATTGAGACCATAGACCTAAGAATCTATGGATAGAGCGCTAAACATATCGGTTAGGAAAAATGCGGTAAAGGGGGTATAGCGCTGTCTCCTTCTACAATAGGACACCGTCGGATGTTTCCGCCACACACACGATTCTTTCCGAAAGACTTATATATGTTATATCCGTTAACTTCGGAATTAAGATACGTAATCTGAATTATTTCTAGTCGTTAATTTAATGAAATATAGATGTATATTTAATATAATTAACATTAACATACACTAAACATCTAAACTTACTTTAAATATAACTAATATATGACTATATATAACTAATATATATACTAATATATAACTGATATATAACTTATACTATATATAATATATATATAATAATACTTATATATAATATATATAATAATAATACTTATATATAATATATATATATATATAATACTTATATATAAGATATATAGTACGTAATATTGCATATCACAGCAATATTATAGTAATACTGTTGTAGTATTACGTGGATATATTTGGACATATTTGGGTGTCTTTTATTAATAAAACAATAATTATTGTATATATTAATATATATATTTATTGTCCCTTAAATAATGTAAGCTTATTATAATATTGTCTTTCAGTTGTTTTCATATTATATTCTTTAAGAAAATGACAAATGCGAGTTTTTATATAAGTTTCCACAATTACCCTTATCAAATAAGTGCGATGATTTTCCAGAGGCTCCTGGTTTTTCATGTGATCATTTAATTGTTGAAAAATGTTACTGCCTATAAATTCTTTTATAATATCATTTGCAAATGCTTTATTTTGATATTTATGTGTTAGCAATTTATCGTGATTTTTCAATAGCGTTTTGATGACTTTCTCTGTATTTCTGCATATAAATGTAACGTCTGCAGATGGATGTAACAGATACCCACGTGATTTACTTTGTATTAGGGCATGGTATGTTGTCTCTTCCGACGTAGTCAATAATACTTTTAAACATTCAGTACATTGTAGTTTTTTGAATTTTTCGCACGATAAATCCAGCTATATGAACAATGACGTTAATACTAAATTCTGTGGTATAAGATATATTTTCTAAATAATCATGACTTTCGTCTGTATGAAGTATATCAATCCAATGATGTAGTGAAAATGGTGAACTGTTATTAATAACATCGACTGCTTTCTTTGCAGAGGATACATTTAAAATTGGTATTTCTTCCAATGCTATACAATTTCCTGTCGAGGGTGCTGATACTTCTGTATGAATAATAATTTTTTTAAAAGCAGATTTAAATTGTCTAACTGTAGAGTTGTTAAAACCATTATGCGACCGAATAACACCAAAAAACATTTCGAGGTGATCTTGACTTAATTTATATGTTGGTATATATGTTAAAATGTTTTCTTTTTTGGAAACCTCTTCGAATAAAGTGAGTAAACTTTTAATGTCAACTAGAAAGCCAAGAAACCAGTTTTTTTTTCGAATCTAAAACTTTAATAACTTTATTTAAAGAGAACCGTAATTGTAGACCGTATATATAATCAAAAGTGTTTCCAAGTTTTTGTTTGATTTGTTCATAATTGTCAGAATTAATTGGTTTTAAGAATCCATATTGCTTCATAGATTTAGAATTGAAAATGTCAAATAAATCATTAAATGTTTTAAGAAATTTAATTGTGGCAGCGGAACCTTGGAAGCTTTCAATTTTAAAGAATCTACAAAAAGTAAGCGCATCAGCAATTGATTGACTCAGAAGCTGCGCTGCTAATTTAACCTTCATTTTTTATTTTGTGTACTCAATATGTCTTATACTTAATTTGTTGCTTAAGTGAAATCTTTCGACTGTCTGTAGCTTATAAAGTTCTTCCAAATACCGCCATTCAATTTCTTCCCCATTATTACCTATTAAATTTTTAGATGCTCCTAATGTATTTCTTATCAATTTTAACATGTGACTGGCATCAAGACAAGCAAATACTTTCTTATTCGTTGATGGATGCTGAAAATATGTTTTAAAATTATTAATTTCAAAGTTACATCCTAAAGTTTTCAATGCAGTAAAATTAGTTGTCGTGCCATCAAACGTTATAGATATAATTTGAAAGTTAATTTTATGCAAAGCGATCAAGCATTGATTTATTAAATTAGCTTTTTTTCGGCATTAATACCATTAATTAGGTAATAAGCGATAGACACTTTCCAATTTTCGTTTAAACAAACCACACAAAAAACCAGAACTTTTTTGACTATCAATACACCATCGCTTTCAATATTATTGCCAAAATCAACATATCCCAAAATAATACCAGAGCTATACTCTACATGCTGACGTATATATCCATCTCATCAAACATTAATACTCCAATTAGTTGATAAAATGAATTTGTGACGTGACATTTTATTAGTTGAAGTGACTCGGAGTTTATTCCTGGTTCACCATGCACCGAAGTATACCATGATGAAAGAGTTTTTGCATGCGGCAAGCAATTATTAAATTTTTGTCTAACATAATTATATGCATGAGGAGTAGTAATGTAGCGTGAGAGCAAAGCGACGTAATTCGAACTCATGCAAACGAGGCACTTTCAATTTTTTATTCAAGCATATTTGTCGATATAGTAAATTCTTATTCCGCGCACTTAAATTTCCAATAACTTCCAAGTCTTCTGATGATAACATTTTTTCCTTTTAAAGAACGTAAAACCCTATCTATAGTTTTAATTCTTTTTTTGTACCGCGTTTTTTGTTTTTCAGATTTGTATAGTTTTCGGCGAATTGACTGTATTTTCTGTCTATGTATTTCTCGAATCCACTTCTTATTTGGAGAGTTGAACAATCTTTTTGGTGTAATGGAGGTCGATGCATCTATCTTTAGTGTACTACAAATTGGAACACTAACCGGTGTCATAACCTAAAAAATAAAAATTTTAAGTTTTTATGCTAACATTTCAACATATTTTAACATAATTTTAATACAATATATTGAAATATTTAAAACATATAATTAGTGATGAAAATATCTAGTTTTAGTATAAAAATATGTAACATTTTTTCACAACTATGCTATACTATTTTCATAAACATTTTCATTTCTTGGAATTATATGAAATTGATATTTTCTGCGAAGCAAGATAAGATAATGTTTTATGTTTGCATAAGATCAACAAAAATTCTCCATGACTTACTGTCAATATTGAAGATTTTGGTGTCCTATATATATTTTCCGATACACTGCCAGAAATATTCGCAGGTACATCAACGTTTGCAGATATGTTGACACTTGTGTCATTTTCTTTATGTGTTTTAACATTTGCTTCATTTCGCACAGCTGTGAAGTCGGCAGATGATGCATTTTTCTCACATGGTAAATTAATCTGAATATTTAAATTAATTGCTGATAAGGAAACTAATTACTAACTTGCAGGTTTTGGTAATATACATGCTTATATAATGACCAACAACAGCTACTTCGAAATAAACAAAACAGTATTTGTATGTAACCATTTAGAGTATTTTCTATTCATGTAAAATAAATTTATAATTAGTCACTATTAACAATATTTATATTACACAGATCTACAAGTTCTTGCATTCAATGCAAAACTATTGCATCGAATTATTACATGTATTTACCAAAGATACTGCTGATTCCTTTAATGTTCGCCTACTTGTGCACCAATTCTGAAAATCACTGTCTGCATAATGTTCAGAACAAATAGTTGCCGTTTTATGGTTATCCCAGCTATGCAGTCCTAGACGTGTTAACCAAATTTGGCGTTTTTGTGAATCTTGAGGAAATCTAAAATATAACCTAACTTAACAATATGCAACAATTTTAAGCATAGAAAGTATATTATATAAATATTTAACTATATATACTAATACGTTTCACAATGTTTATAAACGAAATAAAGTTAAAAATCAAATAATATTACGTACTTGTGAAATGAAATTCTTCTACAATATTCCAGTTCGATCTGCGAGGCTCTTTTTCTTTTCGGATCGGTCCGATTAGTACAGCCCGAAATTATGCAGAACGGCATTGTCAAAGAAAAAACATAGAACTTTATTTTCATTCACAATAAGCTTCATAAAAAATTTCGAAACTGAATTTCTCTGACATGTTTATTGACTATATATCTTAAGCTTCGGATATCTTCGGTCAAATTCGTTTATTAGCCGACGGTGTCCTATTGTAGAAAGAGACAATAGGCGAATAAAGAAGGAGAGTGCTCTCATTCCCCTTATCGCAAATTTCCCAACCCCTTTGCCTGAAAGCTTACTTTGCGCTCCGTCCATAGATTCTTAGGTCCATGATTGAGACATCTTAACGTTTTAACCGGATCGATAATCATAATAACGTGAATTAATGCCACTTGTTATATCAGTTGTCTCATTAACGAACCACAAGTTTGATTCTAGGGATAAACGATGTTCAAAAACATATTAAAAATTATATTTTATCATAGTAATGATATGTATAACATATACTGAATAAATCTTTTATTATTTATTAATGTTTATTTACATTAAAATCACACAAATTAATCGATGGTCTTACATATCAAAAATGCCTCAAACATATCATCACTTAATCTATTTCGCTGTGGTATTAAAATTTGACCTCCAATGCTAAATAAACGCTCAACTGGTGTTGATGATGATATAATCGTGTTGAACTTTAAAAATAAATGTTTCATATGAGGATAATGTGCTATCGATGCGATATCTTTTTGCTCGTCTGACAAATAAGAAAGAACTTCCATGCCAATGGCATTGTCAATTGTTCCCACGTTATCTTGGTCTATTAAAAACTTTAAAAATTGTTCATCTTCCACAGAAGATGCTGAAGAATCATCAGAAGATATTCTAGTTTCATTTTTTAAACACACATATTTTTTTGCTTCTGTAATAAGCAAGTTTTTACAATATTCGTGGTTCAGGGTTGCTTTTGAAAAAATCCCTGCTTCTGAAATCAAGTTTAGCCATTTTAACTTAAGTTTAGGAATAGTCACAGATGAAATAATGTAAGGTTTGCTGCATATACTGTCAAAATTCAATACAGTATTCCCAAATCTTTTGTTAATGCCATCTATTAGAGCATTTCTCAAAGGTTCACAATTAGGTAATTCGTGAAGTGTCTGCAAATTAATTTTAAGTTGCAGCAAAGCTGGCAAAACATATCCTAAATAACAATAGTTTTCTACCTGTAGCAAATTAAGAATGCATGCTAAACTTTTCATTACTATGGTATATTCTTCAAAAAATTCAATTTCGATCATTTTGAATCTTGGCTTATCTAAACGATTGCAAATTTCGTTTAAATGATTTTTAATCGATAACAATTTACAAACTGCATCATAACTTGAATTCCAACAGGTAGGGTAAGGAACCTGTAATTTAGTATGCGCGATTTCTTCAATAATATCTGCTGCCTTCGTTGATTTATGTATTATATTCCAGAGTGTACTTGCTTTAGAAAATGAAGAATTATATAATTTTTTGTATTTGATATCAGATAGAGCTACACGTGAATCTCTAGTTGCAATTAAATTCAATGTGTGTGACACACATTTGTATTGTGTTGGCAAAGAAAATTCTTCTGAATCGTCGTCAATATTATTTGGAAGTTCAAATTCAGATATAACAATGTCGTCGTTTTGTAAATATTCTGGTTCTTCTTCAATTTCGTCGTTGTCAAGTGAAAATATATGAAATGCTTTTCCAAAATTTGAGGCATTATCCGTGACTGTTCCTACAATTTTATCGACAGATAATTCGAATTGTTGATGAACATTATTTAGCATTTTCGCTATTTCAATGTACGTATGAACAAATTTCATACGGCGACATGCCAGAACACACGAATTTCTTTTTAAGTTATCATCGAAATAGTGACAAGTAATTCCCATATAACTTCGATTTGTACAACTCCAAATGTCTGCAGTAGTACAGACAAACTGCGTTTTGGAAACGCGGGTTTTTATTTCAGTAATCGTCGATTTAAATTGTTCTTCAATTTTTTTCTTCAAAGTTTCCTGTGTTGGTAGCTCAACATTTGATATGCCTGATATAAGATTTCTGAATGAAAGTTTCTCGACGGTGGCAGGTGGTCTCATTTCATTGATTATATAAGATAACACAAGCTTGATAACCTAGAAACAAAAATATAATCATTTTTATTTATATAATTGCAAAATTCTATGTTGAATATAATTTTGCAAACCTGTTCTTTTGAGACAGTGTCCTTCACTAATGTATTCTGATTCACCAGTTTTAGTCGCTTTACATGTATTGGATCGGATGCTCCACATGATATTAAAGATGCATTTTTGTATTTTGTTTCTCTTTTTTGTAATGCTTTTTCTAATAATGTTGAGTGTTTTCTCTGTACAAAAGAAATATATATATATATATAAATATTAGTTATTTAAAAGAACAATGTCAAAATAAATATGTAAGACATTATCTAACTATCGTTTTAGCTTAAAATAAGATTTTAACTTAGACAACATATAGAATTTACAAAATATTTATAAATATTTTGATCTAAAAACTACGTATTTTATTGGATCATTGAGAAACTTTCATTATTAGATCATTATTTCAACAATTATTTATTTTGTGTATCAATTGTTATAAGAAAATCTTAATTAGCTAATAATATTGAGCTCCTCCCTTCCCAATTTAAACTGAAAAATCAAAACATATATTGCATAAAATCATATTCGCAGTTAAAAAACCACTATCAAAATGCTATACATGGCTAAAAACTATTATCCCAATATGTAATCTATTGGCACACATTGACATCAGATTACTGACAGATCCATAGTCATTTGTGTCTACAATATTCTCGCATGTTGTCTAATAGCAGATTGGTGGCAGAATGTGTGAAATCTATTATTGATCTGCCATCAGAGTCTGTTAATAAACTGCACTATTTTAGTATAAATTTGTCAGTATGCCCTGTGTGCATTATACTACCAATTTGCCATCAGAAAGATCGATAAATAAATTCTGTCAACAATCTGTTACCTTTCTGTCTTTTCTATTAACAAGAGCCTGTGCAAAATCTGTTTTGCAGATTTCCGTTTGGCTATTTAAGATATTAATTAAATTATTATTACTTACGTATTAATTAATTAGTAATTCCTTAAGTATTTAAATTTTCTATACTACTATCTTAAAAAGATACTTGCCTTAATATGTGAATAAAAATTTCCAGTTCCATTTAGTGCACCACTGTATCTTTTTCCACATGATGTACATTCAGCCATTACTTGCATCAGATTTTCCTTTTTACTTTGAGAATCATTGGATATTATTTTAAACAATTCTCCATCTAGGATTCTAGGAGTCATAGGCATCTTTTTAATTTTAGTAATTATGAAGAAAATGAGCTTTACTTTTGATTTACGTGAAACTTTGCAATATTTCAATGTGCAAAACACAAATCTGAAAGTGAAAAATGTTACTCTCAAATGACAGAAGAGTTATGAAGTATGAAGGTCATGGTACATAGAAAAATGTAAGCAGTAAGACGTAAGCAATAAGTCGTAAACAATAAGATCAGGGTAGCAATCATGAATTTTTCACATGAAGTTCTTTTTCATTTTTCACTTTTCACTATAATTTCACATGAAAAGCGAATTGTAAAAAAGTGAAAAGTAATATTTCTGGGTAATTATTTAGAAGTCTGACAACACCTTGGATTTTGCTCAAACTCACCTATCTTGTTTATTTTGATGTGTAGAAGCCAAATCTGAAAGTTAAAAGGTAATTATTTAAAAGTCTGACAACACCTTGGATTTCGCTCAAACTCACCTATCTTATGTATTTTGACATATAGAAACCGAATCTGAAAGTTAAAATCATCGCTCGGCTCTACTTTGCGAGAAATAAATTGTTAAAGATGATAAGTATGATAGGTTAGGAAACCTGTCATCGCAATATAAAATCTGTTCGTTATAGTTGCATTTAGTGTACTAATGTAGTACAGTGCAGCAACTTCATGAAAATACTTAAATTAAGAATATTTATATAAATAATTTTCTCACAGTACATGTCATCTTGCGTAGGGACTTTTGCTAATCTTTTCAGGATCTCTGTCTTCGTCCCTCCCGTACTCCCCTACCGGGGGCTTCGCCCCCTGGATCCCCTTGTTTACGTTAATATTATTAATACAAATAAATAAAGAAGGTTTGTAGAAGTTGAAGGCCCTCCGGTGTCACAAAGAACCGTATCTCTCGTAGAACCGAGCGACGATTTTAATCTTCAGATTCGGTTTCTACACGTCAAAATACACAAAATAGATGAGTTTAAGCGAAATCCAAGATGTTGTCAAACTTCTAAATAATTACCATAGAGATAATATTGGAAATCGCCGTCACATGAGTTTTACAGTTAACCTATATTTTTGAAAATTAACATCTTGTATGTATAATATTAAACATTTTGTATTAATATTTATTTTTGTAGACAATGGATAATGAGGAGGAAATGTTGACACATATTGATTATATTAACAGTTGGTATATATATACATTAAAAAATCAAATATCTTTTTGTTAGACTAATCGACAATATTGAGTGCAACCAATTAATATGAAATGGCCTGTCCAAGGAGACTTCTATCATTTACTACAAGAGGTGAAAAATGACCCATACATGTTGTTTCGATATACAAGAATGTCCATAAACATGTTCAATCAACTATTGGAGTTAATGAGACCTTCTCTGATAAGAAAAAGTCATCAAGTATAGTACCTGAGCAATGTCTAGCTTTAAGTCTAAGGTATATACATTGTAATAACTATATTATATACTACATAAAAGAAAAATATTTGTTTTATATTACAATATATATTGATATTTTTTATTTGATTGTACTAGGTATCTTGCCATGGGTGACCAAATATTGTTCATTGCATTAGCTTAGTAGGAGAATTGTCAGCTCGTAAAGTTATTAAAGAAACTTGTGCATCACTTACAACAATACTAGCACCGATATATCTCCGTGTCCCTGCTGAACAAGGATAAAAATATGTGAAGGATTTTGGAGAGAATGGAACTTTCCAAATTGTTGTAGTACAATTGATGGCAAGCACATGCAAATACAAACACCACCAAAACAAACTCAGGAAGTTTATATTATAATTACAAAAAAACATTTAGCATAGTGTTAATGGCAGCATGTGACAGTAGCTATAAATTCACAATAGATAATTGTGAAGCATATGGCAGCAATAATGATGCAGGAATATTTTCAAGATCTCTATTTAGTCAAAGTATGATCAAACAAATTTTAAATTTACCACAAGGACAAACTAATTTATCTAAAAGTACCACACAAACACCATGCTTTTTTGTCAGAGATAAACCTTTCCAATTGTCCACGAACAGGATGAGGCCATATTCTAGTCAACATTTGGAAATAAAAAAAGAGAATTTTTAATTACAGACTGTTACGAGCTAGAAGAGTTATCGATAATACTTTTGGTATTCTTATGTCACGATGGAGAGTATTTAAAAAAACCCATATGTATGAATCCAAAAACAATGCATAAAATAGTATTGGCGACAGTATATTTACATAATTTTTTAAAGATGATAAATGATCCAAGGCTAGGTATGTTATCTTGCCTACCATCTTTCGTTGATATGAAGCAAGCAGAAGGTAGTATTGTACCAGGGGCATGGAGGAGTGAACATTCAAAAGGTGTTGAACGCATTACACCAACTAATGCTTACAGATCAACAGTACAAGCATATAAACAACGAGATAGCGACTTCTTTGTTAACTCCTGCAGGTGAAGTCCTATGGCAAAACAAATACATTATTAGAGGTTTAAATGGTCCAGATTTTATATAATTAAGTCAATAAAAAGATAATTATTTTTATATTTGTTGTTGTATATTTAATTTGTTCGTTTCAAATACAGCCTTCTTACATTATCATAATAAAAATTAGAGTATTTTTGTATTTTAACATATTTTCATTATTTTACATGTATATGCGCATCTTTTTATGAAACCTCTTTCTATTTAGCTGATTTTCGTAGTCTCTTCAAATATTAGTATCACAAAAATTCTATATGCTACATCATTAAGATATACCATTAAGATATTTTACAAGATATTTTACAAGAAATATTGGGTGAAGAAAAAACCTCGGGACCCCTGAAAATTTCGAAAAATATACACTTTATAAAAAAATGTTTCAGACAAAAGTTGTAGCGTTGAAAAAGATCTATTTACCGATCTTAACAATTTGACCTTGCGTGGCGTCATCAAGGTCAGGACAAAGTCACTTCGGATTTTTTAAATGGAACCCCCAATTTTTTATTGCATATTCTTATAGCCTTTCTTCAGACCTTTTCAAAGCACTATGGTTTTATCCAATTTGAATAAGCTGTTCCGAAGTTATCGAGTTTTTTAAAGTAAGATATCTAGTCAACTAAGGCAAGATCGGAAAATGATCCAGCTAACTAAGGCAAGATCGTAGGATGATCCGGCCAACTAAGGCAAGATCGTAGGATGATCCGGCCAACTAAGGCAAGATCGGAGGATGATCCAGCCAACTAAGGCAAGATCGTAGGATGATCCAGCAAACTAAGGCAAGATCGTAGGATGATCCGGCCAACTAAGGCGGCCAACTAAAAGCGAAACTGAGAAATAAACATTACTGATTTAAACAGAGTCCTTTGTAAGAACGCAGAGCGATCTTTTGTAGAAACATGGATGGAATATAGTATATAAGACCTTTAAATATTTTTATACCGTTCTCTCTAATCTCAAATTTCTATCGAACTTTTCAACGCGATAAAGAAATTAAGAAATTGTGTGAAGCAAGAAAATCCCATACAGTATACACAATTGCAGCAATATTGCTGCAATGTTGCGACATTGCACATTGCAGTGCAATATTGCAGAGATATTGCAAAAACAATATTTTGCATTATTATATCTGCAATGTTGTAGCAACATTTCAAATTGCGGTTATTATTAAAAAATTATACAAGATATCGCTAAATGGAAGAGCACTTTTTCGTTCCTCTCGCTTAGCTCTACGCCCCTATGGTGTTGGTATGTTGCAATTATGGGACACTTTGTATATTGCTCTAATTCTCATATTTAATCACCAATTGTATTTAATCACTACGATTTTTGGTTTTACAATGATTTAGTTTTATATCCCAAACTTAGACGTCTTATTAATTCAAGAATAGTTACCACAAGTATTTAAGACCTGTATTATTTCAAGTAGCAAGGTGGAATCTTATTGACGTTCTATTGAGTCAATAAAACAGCGTCTTTTTAAGATATCATTTTATTATTTGAAATATTACAGATCTTGGGAACTTTCTGTGACTATTCTTGTTTGATGTCAGAAATGAAAACAATGGTATATTAATCTTTTTTTTTTCATGTACGTTAAAATAAGAGATTTCCATAAAACGACACTTATGATCGATTTTACAAATTTGTAAAATGTTCTGAACACTTTTCTTTTGCTGTATGATAATCATTCACTGTAAATAATTAGTGAAATTTATACAAATGTTGAGTTGAACATATTATCTCTCATGATTATTGTTACAGAATTTTTATGGAAAATTATTGATTGTCACAATAAGAGGAAAGTGTGTCCAGAATATTTTATAAATTTTTAGATCGATCACAAATATCATCCTCTGGAATGTATCTATATAACAAAAACAATTTTTGGCATACGATCTTTCGCTTCTATCGTCATTAAATAAAAACTTTCCAGGAGACTCAATATATACAGGGTGTCCCATTTTAAAAGACCTACTCAAATATCTCAAAAACACTGCGTTAAATCGAAAAATGTTTCAGACAAAAGTTAATTTAATAATTCTGAAATTTCCAAAGGTCGATAAGTTAACAAAAGTTAGGGCACTATTATAGTAATATGTTCTTGATAGTAAATAAAATAAGAAAGTGATACTATTTTCTCTTTCGACGAATAGTTAGCGAGATATCATAAGTTAAATGGTGAAAAAATTACCAAGTTTTTCTTAAATATCTCAAAAAATATTAAGCAAATAAAAAAATGTTTCAGACAAAAGTTGTTCAAATTAGTTGGTAAAAAAAGATGATATAATAAAAGATTGGGATTTCTGTTTAAGAAAATTGATGATTAGTGAATATCTCGAAAGTGGCGCCATCTATAAACAAAATGCTATCGCTGTCTTATGTCTCCCTCCAAACCAAACAACTTTTGTTTGAAACATTTTTCGATTTAACGCAGTGTTTTTGAGATATTTGAGTGGGTCTTTTAAAATAGGACACCCTGTATATACATACATATATACAGGGTGTCCGGAATGTGATCATTAATATTTTGTGTACTAGTAGATTGAGTGCAGCCGAGAAGAAAAATCATGTACCATAATGTAAAATTAGTAATAGTTATCGAGTTATTAATTGAAACATGTGATCCAATGAGCGCGTAGAGAGCGTTGGGCGACCGCCTCTTGTCGCTTGCGCTCGCTCACTTGTCGTTTGCGCTCGCTCACTCTTCGTCACGCGCGCACGCCTCTTGTCGCTTACGGTTGCCTCTCGCTGCGCGAGGTAAGCCATCTTCTTGTATACAGAGCCCGTCCTGTCGCTTTCTCGTGCGCTCATTCGTTTATACATTTTAATTAATTACGGAATAAATGTTGAAAAAATTGTAAAATGGCACAGGACTTTTTTAATTGTTTTAACGAGTTCTACCAGTACACAAAATATTAATGATCACATTCCGGATACTCTGCATATATATATATATATATATATATATATATATAAAGCATTATTGCATACAAATTATATTACAAATGTTACTGCAATGTTACACTGCAATGTTACTGCAATATTTCATTGCAATATTGCTGCAAGCGGACATTTTACTTTTGCTGCAAGATTGCAGCAACATTTCGCATCGTTTCTGCAATGTTGCAATCTTGCAAAACAACGTTGCTGCAATGTTGCTACAACGGTGCTGTGCTGTATGGGATGTGTTGTATTATTTATCTCCTTAACTATTATCCTTACTTATTCCGTTTAAATCCATAATGATTTTTTAAATATATTTTTTTAATTCAATGAGGCTCGATTGCTGTCGTAAATGGTCGATAAACGGTCAATAAATTGTCATAATGATCACAAAGTTTATTGCACTCATCAACTGGGAGCACTGCAAATATCATTATTAACAATTTAACGATTTTTTTCGGCAATCTCTGCATTATCATCCGAATAAGGATAGGCAACCTGTCATACTGACCTATATATTTTGATGTTACACTCTGTATACACATTGGATACAAGAATTTCTTCTGGTACGAAAGTTCTAAAAGTGATTTTGAATATATAATAAAATAAGCTGGAGGATATCCGGCGATGATGACCCACATTTCCTATGCAAACATAACTGTCACGACTAGTAAGAGAACGTAATTTGATATAATTGCCTTACTTATGACGATATCTGCCAAACACACTTTCTCGAAACTAGACATGGGGGCGACCCGCAGCTTTTTTAATTTCGCCCAAGAACCTACACTGTCACCTCGGTGTCACCTCATTTTCGTTCCGATCACGACACGGTAACAATGGGCTCCCTCATTATCATTTTGACGGCCGTCGCCGTATGTTGCACTGGTAAACCATTATTCGACATTCGAATAAACGAACTTTTACATCGGTTTCTATATCGCTCTGTGAACTTTCGATTAACCCGGAAGAGGATACCTTTGATTTTCCTTGTTCTTGTTGCAGAGACGTGTTGTGACATGCCGCCAGCTACGAGCATCGTTAAACCTGCTGACACAGTCCTTTTTAAGATCAATCATGTGAACAAATCTCCCCAACGAGGACCCTTCTTGAGAGATATATCTCAACAAATAAAAATGTGGGAAATAGGGAAAGAAGAAATAGGGGATCTGCGCAAAATTGGGAACTCGCGAAACTGGAATGTAGCAACGAACGTGACTACTACGAATAGCGAACCAAAAAATAGAAAAGCAAGATTACTAGGGAGTTTAGCTTTTTTGGCTGGCCTTGGTTTTGGTGGCTTAGCCACTGCAGCATCTTCCACAGTGAAAAGTTTCGTTAAGGTGCCACAGACGTCTGTCGCATTCAATTTAAGTCCTACGAAAAACTCACCTTACCTCGCCGCCTATTACAATCCCTTTTCCTTCGTGCCTCCGTACCCATTTTTTTATCACTCTCCGTTCGGACTTGTACCAACTAGCGATCTTTCAACTCAGACGATGTCGCACCTGACACCACAAGTGATCAGTATATTTAGCAATAAACAGACGGACAATGTTGCTGGGAGCAACGAGGAGTACGCGGACGCGGAGAATCTCAACAATGACAAAAGCATGGCTGACAGCGAAGATGGGGTTAACTATCGGACGGAATTACATGCCGTAGCCAATCGGAACGCGGAAGAAAAGGTAAGAATCTAATAGATCTCGGCTCGCCGCGCTGAGCAAATAGAAATCAGAGCAGAAAGCCACGCGACGTTTTATCTCGGCGCGCATCTCACGCCAGCGGCGATGTACTTCGCGCTTTCACGAGGGCCGAAAACACCGGCTCAGTTTCGACTGACCGCGCGATCGAATTGGAATTAATTACGCGAAAAGAGAGTTACGATCTCGACGTTCCTTCTTCGCATCGAGCGCGATTGTGTCTCCTTGTGCATTAGGATAAATGTAAAACAAGATATTTAGTTGCTGTAAAAAAATGCCTCAACTAAACAGTTTTGTTAAAGCTCGTCTACATTAGCTGTAAGAGTAAGGCTGTAAGGTTGCAAGACACGAAATGAAATATTTTCATTCGCTAACAGCTTAAACGTGGTCTATAATGACAGTAAGCAGTAAGAAGTAAGCGTAAGCGGTAAGAAATAAACCAATCACAGTCGATTATGACAAAAATAATCAACTGTGGTTAGTCCATTTCTTACTGTTCACGCTTACTTCTTACTGCTTACGGCCATTGTAGACCACGCTTTACGTTACAGCCTTACAGCCTTACTCTTGCAGCTATTATAGACGAGCCTTTAGAGCTACTAAATTTTTACTACTAGATTTTTACTACTAGATTTTTACTACTAGAGCTACTAAATGTTTACTAAATTTTTTTTCCTACTGTTCCTATTAACATCAGAATCAATCGTGTTTCAAGACGTGAGGTTTTTTTCAATTTCTTACAAGAATTACTCCAACGGCACATTAACATCAGAATCTATCGTGTTTCAAGACGTGAGGCTTTTTTTCAATTTCTTGCAAGAATTACTCCAATGGCACATCTTATATTCCCCGAATCATCACGCAAGGGGATTTTTCTAGAAACCTAGCTTTAGATATTTTTGTACCTGGCGAGAGGATACTTTTGTACCTGTTACCTGTTACCTTCGTCCAAAATGTCTCTCATTCCGGCAGTTTTAGCGGAAATAGGCGGTCACAAAGCTCGCGCAGGTAACACGACAAAGTTGCGTGGCAAATATTTGTGCATCACCGCGGCAGCTTGGCTCCGATCGCTCGAAACGGAATTAATTGCACGGAAAAAGCAGCAAGTGATTTTTCGTCGAGTGCCAACGCGAATTTCTCTGCGGATCGTTGTCTTATTTCGTTGTCGTTAGTCGTAAACGTAGTAGTAATTTGTACGGCGGTGGTCTTTGTGCGATTATAAGGTAATTAAGACTTTTGCATATGCAACTTCGCGTTCTATTGACGAGTCGCTTTGGTAAGCTCACTTTCGGCGCTTGATGTATATGTAATTTTATTTCGGTTTGCAATTAGTGCTGTAAAACAATGCCTGACAAGATAACGCACGTGCTAACGTATTGACTTTTAAATGAAGCAGTGCCTTATATCAAGACACACACAAATTGTTTGAAATATAGAATCTCATTCATCACTTTATCTCCGCCATATTTCATCGCGTCATTGCAAAAATTCCGCACTCCCCCTCCTCTCCATCTCTCTCTTTTTCTCTCTCCCCTCCCTCCCTCCTTCCCTCTCTCTTTCTTTCATGTTCATAGCACGTTAAGCTTTAATAGATGTAATTCTCTTTCAAAGAAATATTTATGTTGATTTCATATTTTTTACGCTAAGCTGGAATCTCGGAGATTTGTATTGCACATGAAAAAAGGTATAATACTTTATTAAAACAATTTCTCGAAGAAGCGAGGTTGTTCATTGTTCTTTGTAACACCGTGTGCTGGATTATACTATTGACTAATCTTTCCGCCATTAGATGGAGTTAGATGACTGCAAGGATGGTCAAAGGAAGTATAGCAGTTCCTTCAAGGGATCGTCCAAAGAGCTCGAAGCGAATACCAACGGCCCGACAACAAGCTCGGGAGCTACGGAAATGACCGCTGACGCGAATCAGACCATGACTAAAAATAAAAATAAGACTACAATAACAACACCACCACCTGTAGAGCCCGACCGAATGCATCATCATTATCATCATCATCACCATCATCATCCAGATCCGAACAACAACACTCATACTATACATTCGTACTTTCCAGGATATTATGACGGGTATGCGCAGGATATAAGCCATGTCGATCTTACGACGGGTTCGGACGTGTCGCACCATTATCAGGATCACGGTCAGATCAATTTGCCGCACGAGCGACCCGCTAACTTTTATCACGATGACGTACGCTCGAATCATCATGTCGCTCCGTATTTCCCAGGGTCCTTCTCATCAAACCAAGTAAACGGATACGTAAACACGGACTTTGACCAAGCGTCTTCCTCAGGATATCAATCGCCGAATGATAATGGCTTCAAACCCATATAAGTCTTATATTCTATACACAAGTCTCTATACACATTTCATATTTACTACTACATACTTATTACTACATATTTACTACTACATACTTATCACAAAATAATTGCAATATATATACTAAATACTAAATACTAAATACTAAGTACTAAATACTATAGATACAATTCTAATTGTATGCTTCATTTAGTTGGTGCAAAAATAATGCCGGTTTTTTAGTGACAACTTTAAACGTACATAACTTGTAACAATTATAACTTTTTTAATTGAAGTAACAACCATTAAAATTTACACATTTTTGCCAACAAGAAATAAGCTTTGTTACTCCAGTAACGTAAAATTCTGGAATCATAGAGTTGATGAATTCTTGAAAAACATTTGCAATGGTATTTCGATTATTGAAGATTTTCTTCAAGAAGTTATCAGTCATTATCAGTTAGTCGTTATCAACTCGATGAATGTCCCCGACATTCTTCTTCATCAAGACTTTCATCCTCTTCACGAAATTTTCCATACCAATGTTAAACTCGTTTATAGTTCTTTATTCAAATGCGATATTGATATTGCGCGCCGTTTCCATCGTTTTACGACCAAATTCGAATTCGTATAAGAAAATTGTACGAAATTGTTTTTATCCATCGTTTCTTCGACCCAAAACTCGAAACTACTTTCTACTATAAACTACCACTATAAACAACTACTATTAGTATTATATACTACTACTATTAACAAAACCACTATTCGTATTATATATATATATATAAACTATATATATATATAAACTAATTATGAACAAATCATAAACAAATAATTAAAATATAAATTAATTATAAACAAAAACAAATGCCTGCTGTCGAAAATGTAGAGCGAAGACTACGTTTTAAAATGACATTTCGTGTTAAAATAACGTACTGTGTTATTACAGTAACTATGTTACTACACATGACTGTGTTACTATAGTGTTATTTTAAATCTGCAATGTATTGTTTTAAATCTACATGTATTACTTTAAATCTGTAAGCCATTATCATTATCATTTTTTATAAATGCGGCGATTGGCGGCGTGTTAAAAAATGAAACCGATTGTGGCAATTTGATGATAATTAATTCGATTCGAATCAATCATGCCACGCAACATTTTGTTTTCTAATTATCACGTGAAGGTCAGAACATTATTTTTCTTTCATTTATTATCTTTTCATATATAATTTTTCATGTGTAATTCTTAGCATATTTTATAATGGGCATTTTTCGTGTAACGCATAACGCGTTTTTAAGTTGGAGTTGTATACGGTTGCAATAACAATAATTATTTTATGAGAATTTTATATAAAGTATTATATGAATAATATATGAATGCGATGTTGCTGAATTATATGTTATGAATCATATATATGAATATGAATTATATGTTATAACCTATGAACTTATGTTATATGTTATATCGTATGAGTATCATATGGATTATCTGTGCCTTGCTTCATGAATAGGAAATAGGAATCACGAAATAGGAAAAAAATTCGTACTTACAACCTAAGAAAAAACAATTATTCGCAAAATACTTGAAGCGTTAACCGATAGTCGTGCTGTCAATTATTCAAATATATTACTGTGTCATTCTTCTGGCCACGCTTTGATCTATTACGCCTTTGTCAAAGTGTGAAGAAAATATACAGTTTTTATTTTAGTAAATATACACGACTATATACACTTAAACTATACACACTTATCGACTTAAATACACACCGTACGTAATTTTATTTAACTTCAATTAACTTGAATTATTTGCTGCCTATTTTGTATGTATTTTCTTCTATCTATATTATTCTATATATATTATTCTTATCTCATATATATATCTATATTATTCTATATATATATATATATATATATATATATATATATATGCGAAACACTTCTTTTATATGTCATCATATTATATATTTTGTATACAAATAATTTATATTTTATAAGCAAATGTATTTTATTCTTTGTTTGCAAATATACCGTGTCTGAGAAATATATTCTTGTAAACTTCTTGTATTGTTGTAAACTGTTTATTATTATTAAAAATTATTAATTATCTCTCGCACTCTCTATTGAAACAGACGCAACTTAGAAATTAACTCATTGTTTCATCGGAAGAATTTATTTAAAATAAATGAAGCATATCTCGAAACACATCGAATGGGTAATGACGGAGCTCTTCGTCGACGACAGATGTAAATCAATGTTTTCCGAATAGCTCGTAAAGTCTCATCGCGCCGTCTCTCGCAGTACGTTTGCTTCCTCCCTCTTCTCGATACTGCGAAATTTTGCAACTCGACCGAGCGATGTCACCAGCTAGGGAATATTTCTCAAAACAATCGTATGAATTCGTAAATTTTTCAATTGCATGACCACGTGATGTACGCTACGAGACGCGTTCAAATCCGTAACTGACAACCGCTATGAAAGCATCGCGGTTCTATCCGCGGAGAATGTTGTTTCGAGGCACACACGCACGAGACAATCGCGCGTGACATTATTTTCTCTCTTTCATTTTCTCCTTTTTTTCTTCATCAAGAGCACCCGGACCCTCGATCCAACGTGTTTTGTATACGTGACAAGAGCGTCTGTATGTGCACGTAGCTTCTTGTTTGGACAATTGCCCGACGGGCTGTACAGTTGTTCCGAGCTGATTTTGTGTAAACCGATCAATAAGACGGAAATCCATTAATGGTATCCAGAGCTCGTTGATCGGCGAGAGCGGCATGACGACGACAATGACGACGATAACTACAATCGGAAATAAGCGCGTCGGATAATAAATAAATGACCGTCAGAGTCGTCCAATTGGACGTGGTCGTCCGCAAGGAAGAAACCTGTTTTATTTTCGGACGAGTTTGGAGGGCCGGGCTCTCCGTCTATTTCGAGAAGGCCGCCACTGCGGTATTGTGTCTCTAAAGACGCCGGTACTTTGCAGCTTTCGCACGTAATTTTTCAGCCGGCAGATTTTCATCGTCTAAATCAGGCGACAATGTTTGAGCTGATCGTAGGCGCACCGTAGGCGAAAGGAGCATCGATCGCGCAAGAAGCATGCGCGTTGGTCCTACGACTGTAGTCGTGTTTTCAAGCTACAGGTACAGGTTTATCGGAAGTGTTACATTCATATTTTGCATCAAACCGCGAGACATTGCGATCAAAATAATCTCGAGATGATCTCGAGATAAGAATAAAAATTGATATCCAGGAGCACGGAAACATCGCTTGCAGAAAACATCACGTCAAATATCACGATTAAAATATAATAATATCGATTACCCTAACAGAAAATTATCACTGGCTGTAATAAATTGGCTAGTGGCAATAAGTAATTTTATTACTCGTATTATTATTACTACTAATGAAATTACTCGTACGAATAATAACATTGCTGATTATCATGAGTGATAAAATTACTCTTACCAATAATAAAATTACTTATTATCACTGGCCAATTTATTACAGCCAATAATAAATTTCTATAAGGGTATCATTATTATTCTAAATAAATAGAAATATTTTCCATTGATAAAAGAGACAATATCGCTAGTCGCAGAGGCAATGAAAATTGAGCGAGGTGAAATACACATAAAGAAGAATCAAGCGGTTTCTCCAATCACGCTGCGCGACATGCCCAAATAAATCACTAAGATAATCTCGAAGTCAAAATTCGCAAAGTGGAAACTGACATTCAGAAGTATAAGAGCCGCGGTGAAAAATGTAAACAAGAACGCGTCAACCGCGCGTACGGATTGCTCTCGCTTTTCGCGCGATCGCGATTAGCAGGAGTCGCACGTGCCTTCGTCCTTCGGCCGGCGCGCAAAGGACGGACTTTTTACGGGCGAGCGAGTCAATCGCGAAAGTCCGACAGCCGGGGATTACAGTAATTTCCCTCGATCGTTACACACTCTCGGCGTGACGCGTGCGTACGCCGAGCGATATGCAAAGCGACACGTCGCGCGCGCATGAAACCGTCGACGCGATTCCGTGGGCGAGCCGATACGAGATAAACGCGCGCGGCGTATTGCGTGCGCGATCGCGTGCAATAAACACGATCGACTTCCTCCGCGGAAGTGGCGAGTTTCCTTGAAAAGCGTTATGATACCGGTCGAGACCGGCCACGTGGCCGGCTGATTTAATATCCATTTCTCCCGCGCGCGTAAATAATCCCGCCTCGGAGCACATGGCTCGCGCGCGAGCGCATTCTCTAACAAAGTGCTGGGCGAGCGATCGGACAGGTTCGACTCTCCCTAGGTCGACTACTTGACGCTCTTCGACGCGCTTGCCTATGACTGCCTGCTACAAACGCGCTGTGTACGAGAGATACGCGTGTCTGGTGTTATTTCAAAGACCGGCCGCGCGCCGATCGATCGCCATGTACGTATCTACGAAATCGGACTAGATCGGGATCTCTTTAAATCTAAATATATACCGGGTGTCAGGGTTGAACGCCCTGGGGTTTCCGGTCCTTAGCGTGTGCACTTCGCTCTTCCCTCCCCACACCCTTGCGCCTTCCCCCTCCCGCCCTTGCCGCTCCTCCTCCCCCCCCCTCGCTGTGCCGGTCTTTTTTTATTTTTCGTTCAAGCACTCACGTCTCTTCTCGTATCCCGTTCACCTTCTTCCCTCTTTCCGCCGCCGGCGACCTCGTTTTTTTTCCACGCGAAACCCAATAGCCCTGTATCCTCTAGGATACTCCAGGACTATTTCCTGCGAGTTTGCGCCGACTCGAGCCGGATGGGAAACCGCAAATGTAGAGCCCCGTGCACGCCGTCTACCAACGGCATCGCGTATGCAACAGCGGCGTGTATGTCCTGTGCAAAAAAAAAAAGAACGGGAAAAATGCAAACAATTTTTTGTTCGCGCTACAGGATAGTTGTTATTTTGTTTCTTAAATTTTCCCTCATAAAAATCCATAGTTGTCCATCTTATCGCGATGAAATCGTGCGCACATTCGCGCGCGTATCTCGATGTGTTTACACAGAGCAAGTTGCTGGTAACTTAGATATCGCCGAGAATGTAAAAATTTTACAAAGTATGAACAATATGAATTACAATAAAACTACATCTCTGTATCTGTAAATAAATGATACTTATATATTTGCAAAATGTGATACACAAACTATGTCTATATATGTATGTCTACGTCTACATCTGCAAATAAAAATAATAAAATCACTCTTTTATGCTCGCGAAGGTATAATTGCAAATTGAGAATACATAGAATTGCCATACATAGAAGCAGGTTTCCACACGTCCGATCATTAGCGAGTAATTATCGATAACGACATCGATAAAACAGCCTCGCGACTTTGCGCTGACGGAGATGACGAGCCGACGTAGCCAGGCCGTTCCTCAGAGCGTTTTCACGGATCCGTCTCCGGTCATCAGGCTATTGTTCGAGATTCGCTCCTTGCGAGGATTTTCTCTCTCTCTCTCTCTCTCTCTCTCTCTCTCTCTCTCTTTCTCTCTCGACAAGGCGGGCTCCGCGCTCGTCGCAATGTGCATGCCAATAAAATATCGCCGGGTCGCGGCGTTCGCGCTGCTCGCCGCTCCGGGCTGTCGGTACGCACGTGCGTGCACACAGAAGCGAAACGGTTCGTTCGGTGTGGTAAATGCACCACGGTCGGATAAGAACCCTGGCCTCGTATATAGGGGACGACAGAGGAGAGACAGCTGTGGGGCAGCTGGCAGCGCGTGCCACAAACCTATGGGGTCTCTCTCCTTCTCTCGTGCGCGCGCGGACCACGATGATATCCTATATACCGTGGAACGTAACTAACGGCAGGTTTCGAACAATGCGACGTTCCAGAGCGTCTTCTATCTTCGGCATCAAAGGGAATATACCAGGAGTTGCCAGGATGAGAGCGGGGCCACGAATTATCACCGCCTGGATGCTCGCCGTCGAGAAAGAGTTTGTATAATAAAAATCTTCGCGACTATATTTATGATCGTTCGCATACGACGTGTGCCTGTGTCTTTGTATATGTATGTGTGTGTGTGTGTGTGTGTGTGTGTGTGTGTGAGAGAGAGAGAGAGAGAGAGAAAAGATTGTCTCGGAGAGATTTTCATAAATACGTAAACGCGACACGCACAGGTCTCTATTGACGGAAGCTAAACCCGGCCAAACTACGGAGAACAATACGACAGTTCACGCTGGGCTTCCTATTGGTCACAGTGGGTTGTACTTGAGCGCTTAACCGAACTCGGGTAAAGTGAGCTTAGGGCTAATTACGGACGGCGAATTTCATTGTTTCTCAACGTTTTCTATTACCTCGCACACCGTGACTATTATTTTCCTACTTGTACATCCTATTTGTTTCTCGATGGCGCGCTCGATGTACGGCATGATGATTGTGTTTGCAGATTTTCGTCTCGAGGAGGCCCCGCGTTCAAAATTATATTTACATGATATTCACGAGGATACGCGAAACTGTTTTCGTCGTGATACTTGTTCATGTAATTTTACAAAAACGACTTGCGGCATGTTGGATGTCCTTTATCCTCCAGCCCGAGGAAATACCTATTCGTTTCTCCGCGTGTATCTAGGATTCTAATGTCTGAGCCGCGCGCGAGGTGCCGACGAAAAGGTGCGCTTTCCTCGGGAGGTTTTCACCGGCGTGAAAAAGAAAAGATCAGCGAGTTCACAATGCTTTCGGGGGAACGGGCGATTCAGGCCGGCGAACATCTGCCGTCGTCTGTAACGATAATAATTCGAACAGCTGATGTTCCTCGGCGGACCACCGCCTCGCCTCGCTTCGGATCCTGCAGGATCTCTTTGTTATCCATCTGTGTAAGATGAATTCTTACGAGATAGCAGAGGAAGTTACTTTCAATGCTTCGCTGCGACAAAATTTCTTCTTTGTAACGATCGTTTCAATGACAAATGTTGTCAACATGTGTCCGTCTTGTTTGGAACATATTTTTTAACACATTGCAACAAAGCACTTTGATAGTACAATGGCACATCATAGTATGCAGTTGCTTAATTTGTTAATATATATTCTACGGATCCTGAGAGGAGAAATCATGCTGCAATAAAAGATTAAGGACAGGTTGTTCCAACTTCTTGGTAAGTTAACTGATAGTTAAATCGTATATCTGTCTTCGTTTAAATTGAAGAAAAAACAAAGATAAACACATGATTTAACTATTAGTTAACTTACCAAGAAGTTGGAATAACCGGCCCTTAGCAAAAGAGTCAGTTGATAAACGATATCTGAGACAGCATGAAACATTTTTCAGTAAATATATAGAAAGAGGTACACTTCACCGGCTTTTTTCATTTTGAAATATGTTATAAAAGATGAAATTCTGAGTGACTTTTCCTGATACAACTATGTGGGGGTCGCTTATAGTTTCCGAGATATTTGACTTTAAAGTTCTGGAATTTTGATGTTAAATTCCAAATATCATAAGCTGACGTTAATTACAGTACAATCCAAATAGTTAATCCAAACATAGTGTATACATAGAAATATAGGAAACAGTACATATAAGCGGGGCTTATGAGAGGGGCCCCGCCCCTCCCTCGCATTCCTTTCCCAAAAGAATCCTAACCTAACCTAACTTATTGCATCTTTATATATTGTTGGGCGATGTTGAAAAGATCTCCTTAAAAGCCACAACACCTAATTATATGCAGATATTATAATAAGTTAATATAATAAGTTATTATAATAAGTTAAGTTGAGCCAGGTGATAGATTTTAAGAGAACTTTTTTCAAAAATGTCCAAAAATATATAAAGAAGCAATAAGTTATGTTAGGTTAGGATTTGTTTGGAGAGGGACGAAGCCCCTCTCCCGCTTATATGTACTGTTTCCTATATTTAAAGTGAATGAAAACTGCTTGTATACTTCAAATATACCAGATCTGTAAATATGAAACCGGAATTTGCCCATAGATGGCCCTAGCTGTCAATGTAGTTACCGTCAAACCGCGTCATTGGCGCCATTTCCATTTGTTGACATCTGACAAAGATTTTCAACTCACAACAATACAAGTTTCATACAACAGCATAGCTTGTAATAGCGTTGAACATGTCGAATTTTGTGCCTGGAAGCTATGATTTGCGGACAGCATTGATTTTCTGTTACCATTTGAAGAAAACTGCTGCAGAATCGCATCGAATGCTTGTCGAAGCTTACGGTGAGCATGCTCTTGGTAGTGCTCTTGGTAGTAAATCACAGTGCTGTGAGTGGTTTAAAAAATTCAAACGTGGCGATTTTGACGTGAGAAACGAAGAACGTGGAAGACCACCGAAAAAGTTTGAAGACAGCGAATTGCAAGCATTGTTGGATGAGGATGACGCTCAAACGCAATAAACAACTCGCGGATCAATTAAATGTGACACGAGAAGCCGTCTCCATTCGCTTGAAAGCTATGGGAAAGATCCAGAAGATGAGAAAATGAGTTCCACATGAACTGAATGAAAGACAGCAGGAAAACCGAAAAACCACTTGCGAAATGTTGCTCGCCAGGTACAAAAGAAAGTCATTTCTCCATCGAATTGTGACTGGCGATGAAAAGTGAATATATTTTGAGAATCCTAAGCGTAAAAGATCATGGGTAACTCCAGACGAACCATCGACATCGACTGCAAGACCAAATCGCTATGGACGGAAGACGATGCTCTGTGTTTGGTGGGATCAGAAGGGTGTGTTCTATTATGAGCTGCTAAAACCTGGCGAAACCGTTCATACTGAACGCTACTGACAACAAATGATCGATTTGAATCAAGCTTTGCGTGAAAAACGACCAGAATATCAAAAAAGGCAACACAAAGCGATTTTGCTTCATGATAATGCACCATTACACACAGCAAAACTGGTCAAGGAAACGATTGAGGCGTTTAGTTGGGAAATACTTTCACATGCGGCTTACTCACCAGACTTGGCTCCGTCCGATTACTACTTACTTGCATCGATGGGACACGCACTTGCTGAGCAACACTTCACTTCTTACGAAAATGTACGAAAATGGCTCGATGACTGGTTTGCCTCAAAAGAGCACCAGTTTTTTTGCTATGGCATCCACAAATTGTCAGACAGGTGGGAAAAATGTATAGCTAGCGATGGGCAATACTTCGAATAAAATATTTTTTATCACTTTCATACAATAAACGTGTATTTTCTATACAAAAATTCCGGTTTCATACTTACATATCTAGTACTTCAACGTACAATTATAAAACTTTAAAGTCAAATATCTCAGAAACTATAAGCGATCCCCATATAATTGTATTAGGAAAAGTCACTCAGAACTTCATCTTTTCATATTTCAAAATGAAAAAAATTGGTGAGGTGTACCCTTTTCTATATATCTACCCATTTTTCAATCGCCTCTCTCACAATTTACATGATTTTGCCTGCGCGATCGCAATTTTGCTTCCGAACGTCAAATTTATCCGTTTTCAGCGGAATAAGTGTATCACCGTCGAAGATCCCAGCTGATGCCCCGACCGGTGCAGGAAATATTTACAAGGATTCATAACCGTAATCCATATAGCCGCTACAATTGCGCAAGGCGTCGCAGATCCGCGGAGATCTCCGAGGGACGTCCATGTAAGCGCAGAAAAAGGGAAAGAAGCGTGAAGCGCTCTCGCGTCGAGAGGAGCGAGCGACGAGAGTGAGCTCGACGATGACGCGAAGCTCCGCAGCGTGAACCCGCACACGTGCGCACGGGACAATCGATCAGCCGACAACAAGTCATTACCCTACGGCCGGCGAGAGCAGCATCTTGCGACGGAACCGGCGTGACCGAGCACCGCCAGCAAGGCTCTCTCTCTCTCTCTCTCTCGTCGGCAGCCCAATCAATTCCACTTTTCGAATTTCAGCGCCCGCGGTTCCAGCGTACGAGCCTGTTTCGCGCGCGCGGTAGGGATCCGTCCAATCGGAACACCCAACGGCGGACCAGTTGGCGGACCGGCGCGCCTCGCGGTAGTCGCGGCAACTCAAATGTGGTTCGACACTTGCACGTGGGACTTAGTCGGTGTCGGTTGCGTGTGCGCGCGCGCTTGCGAACGCAAGAAAAGGCACCGTTCACCAGCACGTAAGCGCGCGTTGTGACTCGTCTCGTCGAACACGAGCCACCCTCGAGGACGACGCGCGGGAGAAGACGACGGTGTGTCCGCGGTATTCCTCCGCGTGTATCTACCGAGTCGGACAGTCGGGACAGCCGTTGGCCATCGTTGTCGTCGTCGTGGTCGTCGTCTAGCGAGTAGCAGTGAATCGTGCCCGAGATACACACACGGATATCTCACATAAGGTCCCACTCCGTTCCGTTGTTTCCGAGGGACCCGCACGCAGCTTCAGTGGTGTATTACTGATTGTGTACCTCTCGTCATTGTGGGATTATCACGGTCGACGGGCTCGGCGCGGCGGACGAACGCGCACGCACGCACACACCGCGCGGCAAAAGCGAATGTAAGTAATGGCAAGGCGTCCTTTTCTCAAACGTTCTCCATCGCACACACACACACACACACACACACACACACATACACACACACACACACATACACACGTGCGTGTATGTTTCAACGACACGATAGCGCGTCGATATATCGGGCGTCGTTTCCTCGCGGAAGATCGACGACGCGCGACAGAGGTGTCTCGAGAGAGGCCAGGGAGAATCGGGCTTTATATCGTCGCGACGAGGTTAGAAGCGACGGAATTAGCAGCGATGAAATTTCGATATCTTCGAGGAAACTCGGTGCGCCAAGTTTTCTCCGGCCGCTCGACTGCCCGGTCGCCACCGGGAGCTGCGGGTTATAAACTTCGGCGCGCTCCACTTCTCGTTTCTCTTCGATCGGTCTATTTCCGATCGGCCCGATGCGTCCGCGGTTATTTCTTTTGGAAATAGCGCGGCCCGAGAGCCATATCGTCCGCCGCCGGCTGGCTCCGCGACAGAGGAGAAAAATCATCGGTTCCTGCGCCGGCGTTAGCACGCGTCATATTTTATGCAGTCGGCACATGCTGCACAAGGCGCTCATTGTCGCGCTCGTTACGTGAATTTCGGAGTCGCGCAGCTCATTAGCGTCGATAGCATCGTTGCTTAATTGCTATCATCACGACGAATCGTTTAACTCGCGCTCGCATCGTTTGCAACTATGCAAGCGCGCGACACGAAATTGCGACGCGCGACATAATGCCGCGTTCGAGATGTGTGTGTGTGTGTGTATGTGTGTGTGCGTGTGTGTGTGTGTGTAGTTTTTGAGTGTCGAGCGAGAAAAGTTTCCTCATCCAAAAATGTCATTGCACGATTTTGCACGATACGATCGCAGATGCGCACGCGCACCGTTGAAACGCTCCATTTTTGCCCTTGCATGGAGAAATTTCATTATCGACAACTCGATTTAGCAGCCTGATGAAGCAAGACGATAAGGACAATTCCGCGTATCACATCTGCAGCGAGTAACGTCAATTTCGCACACTGAAAGAACGAGACGTTTAATCTCGCCGTGAATTACAGTCATTTTTACTCGGCACCAACGACATTCCTTTGTTGCTGCCACCGAACAATAGCGAGACGCGTATATAACTATACGGCGTAAGATATCTCAGAGTCATCCTGGATACGCTCAGGATGTCCTGTAAGGCGTTCTCCCGGCTATTTTGGATGCGTTCAGAATGATGCTCCGGCATGTCTTATTTTACTGTTGTCAACAACAGTGTGGATTCTCCGGGTCTGATTGTTTCGCCGAACGCGCGACTGTGACGACCGCGCGCTCTTCTGCCAAATAATCAGAGAGGAAAAGAGAGAGAGTCCGCCATGTCGCTCAATGAAATAATAACGAGCGACGGAGTGTCGCGTCGCGTTGTGCATTTGCGCCGTTCCAGGACGAGAGGTACGACGCTTTCCTTCCAATTACGGGAAAAGTGCTCCGTCGCCCTCTCCTTACCCCCCCCCCCGCCCTGCTCCCCCCCCGCCGACGCTATCCCCCGGCGACGAGGCGCGATTCGCGACATCGAGATACCGCGATAAAACGGCGCGATGCGCCGCGAAACTCGCGAGCGACAGCCGCGAGAGCTGGCGTGTCCTCGGATCCCAGGACGGCCGCCGATGCGCGATCTATAATGTCAGCCGGCACGGAAGGACGTGGTCGTCCCCCCGAAGCGAAATCGCGTCCGATTTGCCGCGGCCGCGCAGGAAATTCTGTTTATCCGCCGGCGGAATCTCGCGATGGCGCGTGGCCATCTTGCCCCGGCCGTAAAACCGTCTGCTTCTTCTCTCAGCTGTCCCCTCTCAACCCCCGTTCAACGGCCTGTGCCGACTCGCGAGCGACAAAGGGCTGCCCACGGCGCGCGGCGACCGGCACGTGTGTTCCCCGATGTTTATTAATAAACCTCGACGCGCGCCCGTGTCGGCTGTGCCCGACGATTTCGCCGAGGCAGAACGTCTGGAGGAAGCGAGGCGCAGGTGATAGCGGCTCCGCGCTTGAAAAACCGCCTCGAAAGCGCCTCTCGCCGGCCCCTGCCGTTCCCAGGCGCATTGTCCGCGCACGGTGACACCGGTGCGCCGGCCTCGGGGACGGGGCCGAAGGGGGCTTGATCTCGCGCGCGCGCGACGGCGGCGGCGGCGGCGGCGGACAGCGATCGATTCGCGCACGGCAAATTTCGAAAGCACCTCGGGAAGCCGCAGGTCCCTCGGCTTGCGATTCCACACAAAGACGAGGACACGGCCGCGAGAACGCGACCGTTACTTCTTACCTACGGACGATAAGTATTTGTTCGTGGACCAAGACGAGCTGACAACGGCTGGAGGGGCTGGACGAAAAACGTATTTATTCTCGAGCTGAGGATACACAACCCCTCGGCGGCTCCCGCTGCGGCTTAGAAATCGGGCTCGGCTCTGCCCGTGGAAATCCCGCGCGGCGCGAAAAGAAACGAGTCCTCGCGCGCGCGAGCGCCCGAGGAAGTCACGTAGCCGTGGAGGAAGTTTCGCCGTGATTTTTCTGCTCACCGTATCACGAGTGTAACGGGATACGGCCTAGCTGTCCGGAGTTATGTTTAACGCCCGATGTTCTTTCGGTAGTTCGCCAAGTTCCGCGCGCGCGCGCGCACGCGCGCTGCTTTTACGAAACGTCGTAAAAGTTGCAGCGCTGCGCGCACGTCGCGCTGCCGTCCGTTTGGAACTTTCTTCGGCGCGCAGGCTGTTTGCTTTTTATGGGCCCCGATTGTGCGAGCGACGAAACGTCGGCCGTCCTGTCTCGGACGAGATATCGCTCCGCTCGCGCTTACTCGCCTATCGAAAGCCGGATCATTGTCGGAGCCGGCGTCGTTCAGCGCCGTTTTAGAAGCTGATCGCCCCGCCGAGGGTAGTTTGCGACGTGAAAATTCCGTGAGAGAGCACAGCTCGCAGCCGTTGATTTACCTAATAGCATGTAACGTATAAGAGTGTACTCCTGCCTCTCGCGTCTTCTCTCCAACGTCTGATTAACAATGTGCTATTTTCTACACGGAGCGTCTCCGATGCGGAAAAACGAGCCGCGCAATTTTCACGCTGTCGGCGACCAAGTAGCGCATAACGCGCCTCAGACGGCCGTGTACACACACCAGCCGCCGACGTCGGCTGGTATAAACTTTCAGCAGACGCGCCGCACGCTTATTGTCAATCGTGCTTCAACAAGTGTTCCTGCATGGGACGCAAACAATTCGATACTCGGCGTTATCGGTTGCGGAGGCGGTTGCCGTCACCGCACAGCCGACCGCGGCGAAGACGCGCGAACGAATTAGCGCGGCGATTGACGATCCCCGGGAGGAAGGAGTCCTCTCGCCATTTAACTGGCGAAGGATCACGGATGGACGGCACACGAGTCCTGGTGTTAAGTCGGCCGCGAGTAACGTCTGCATGTCGAATAAATAATTATGAGATCAATTATGAGATCAGGTGAAAAATGAGACTCCACTTTGGTCGTAAATGCGTCAGAGAGGTAGATGGTTGCGTTTATCATCGCTGCAAGGAAGGGCGTTATTACGAGAAACAGTAAAAGAAAGAAAAATGAGAGAGAGAGAGAGAGAGAGAGAGAGAGAGTTTAGATGACAAAATAATCGACACCTTACGGGACACACTGGGCTAAATTTAGATGTATGCGTGTGAGACAAGGTGCGAATAAAAATAGTCGCTTCGAGCTACAGGCCTTAATGCTTAGAGCAACTTTGCACTTCCGTAGCAAAAAGAAAACACGGCGAGGATTCTCAGTAATGATGCGTAAAAAAAAGCGCAGGTGTAGCTCTGCCGGGTTAATGCCTCCTCTCGTACACGCCGTTCACATTGGCCCGCGTACACCCGGGACGCGTCCTTCTTCAAAACCCGACGCGAGTGCCACGTGTCTGCGGAGTTTTTCGAAAGTCTGGCCGTCCGTGCGGCTTTTCGGCCCGCGAGGGCATGTCCTCATGGTGCGTGGCAATCGGCCAGCGTTGAATGCATGCCACATGCTGTGAAATCGACGACCGCACCGACACCCCGACGTTGGACGGTGGAGAAATTGTTGTCACCCGAGCGCAGTTGGGAGACACGGTTTCTTCCACGTTTCTTCCACGTTTCTTCCACGTTTCTTCCACGTAGTCTAGTCCAGTCTGGTCTAGTCCAATCCGCGTAGACCACTGTGTATAGTAGTATCAAGTAGTAGTTCTCAACGAACGAGTGTTCCACGAACGGAGCAGAAGCACTTCACGTGGAGCGGGAATTCCACGAGAGCGCTTCACGAGCGCGTTCTTCGGCCGCGCTTCGCCAAGTTTTCGTGTCCTGAAATCAATCTTTTCGTGCGCGCGCGCACGAGAGAGAAGAGAGAGAGAGAGAGAGAGAGAGAGAGAGAGGGACAAGGAAAGAAAGAGAGGAAGAGATCTCAGTCATTCTGAGATAGAAGTGGACTTTTTGCGGAATACACGGCACTTTGCCGGAGCAATGTTCCATGGAACACGGTCAGCGAGTCGACAATCGAGAATTCGTCGAAATCTTCGTGTTTCGCGATCGTGAAGGATCCGCCGCGTGCGCGCGCCGTATGCTTCCGCCGGCTTACGAGCCAGCCGGCCTACGTGTACGGCCATTGTTTCTACCCTCCGCCGTGCCTCTTATTACCTGGAGGGTTGAAACTGCTTCTGTCAACACCGCAGCGCGCTGACCGACACCGCCGCGCGCGCGCGTTTTCGTGGCCCTGCCGAGCTCAGGATGAAGAACGAAGCGCGACCGAGAGTATTTTCTCTTCGCGTCTCGACTAGAAACCGCGCGTGCGGAGATTTATCTTCCAGATCAGAGCCGAGGAAGAAAGTGCATTTTTTTTTTTCGTAGGCAGGTGCAAATCTCAATGTTACGCGCATCGCGCTAAGAGTCTCCGGACTTTTAGCGCGCGTAATGATTGCATCGTTTTATTACAAAATGAATATTCCTGCTCGGCCTAGCTTGGCCTCGCTTGTTCGTTCTTGACAAAAGCGCGAGATGTGCGAAGAAAAGAGAGATAATCGAAAAGGAAATGATAGTTGAGTTGTATGTATACTATATGGACGGATCTGTATATATGGTTTTGCAATAAAAAAAAACTCAAGGATGAAATATTTATTTACGTGTACAGGCTTTCGATCATACGTCGTAACTTTTCAGTGACGCCGGTCAAAGTGCCGCGATCAAATAGCGGCGGCGGTGTTTATCGGACTGACACGTTTCTATTTATCCTCGGCATTTTATTTCAAACTTGACTTTTGCTGGTCGAACTATCTGCATAAATCAAGCCCAACCACAAACTCTCTATATATATATATATATCCTGTATTATTATATTTCTCATATATATTATATATTATTTACGTTCCTGTCTCTTACATATTGTGTACACATGACATGATTGTTATACATTATATATTATCGTCACATCGTACATTATAATTCATCATTTGTTTTAAATTATTTTAATTTTTTCCAACGATGCTCGCGACAAACTCGAACTTCGAATCGACTCGTTGACGCGAGGAATATTGGTTACCGCGTCGCAGTTTGCGTTAATCTACTACTACGTTCCTCAATTTTTCATCGAGACTACGACGGAAAGTTTCGACGGATCTAACGTGAACCAACGTGTCTACTAGGACAAGCCGAAAGATAGCGAAGGAGTAGGAGGAGAAGGCGGCGGTGATGGCAATACAACAATATGATTATATGGCGTGCTGCACCGGTTTTCTGCAGCAGCTGCCGTCGTTTTGGGGGATCCCACTGGGAACCGACGGTCGCCGAAGTACCGGTAGGAAAGGGCCCGGACTGTGAGGAGGGACGGCAAGGAAAGGAAAGAGGAACGGAGGGTTCTGGCGGCAGACCCCTCTGCCCTCGCCAGGGCCTTAGGGCCCGGCGCATACAATACACTCAAGCGAGAAGCGATAGTGCGATGGGAACGACGAAGCAAGAGGAAAAGGGACACTAAAGGGCAGAAAGGGCCCTTTCTCTCCTTCTTCTCCCATCGGCGATGAACGTATTGCAGAAACACGAAAAACGAGCTATACGAAAAACTACTACCTGGTTCGACCGTTGCGCCGCGTCAAGCAAAACTGGATCCCTTTTCAGGCATGTTGGGGGAAGGAGGCAGGAGTAAAAGAGCGAGAGAGGAAGAAAAAGAGCGAGAGAGGGGAAGAGGCGGGAAAGAAAGAGAGACAGGCGGAGAGGTAAGTAGAATCTTAGATGGAGGTCAGGGTCCCTTCTCTTGCCTCTTATCCCTTCTCCGTTACTCATTCCCGCCAAATTTTCCTCGAGATTATCTCTACATTAAAAAAGAATCGTAATACATCCCTTAAGGCCATCACACGTAGAAAAATTTTAACCGTAACCGTAAGGTTGTAAGAAAACTGACCAATCACAGTCGATTATTATAATGTCACGAGAGAAAAGATCGACTGTGATTGGTCAGTTTTCTTATAACCTTACGGTTACGATTAAAATTTTTCTACGTGTGATGGCCTTTACTCCCGTTGCATCCGGAGAGATCGGAAGGAAGAAAACTAGTGAAGACCAGGCAGAAAGGAGCAGAAGAAGAAGATATTTTACGTTTCATACAAAACGTGCAATAGATAGTATGTTTCATTGTTCATTGTTCTTTGGACGGGCAAACTTGACAATGAGATGAACGCGCACACATGCACGTGTGCAGTGTTACATCATCAAGTCGCAAATACAATTTTCGATTTCGGTTTCGGTTAACATCTCCTTCGTAGAACCATCAATTTTTTACAAATATGTGTGAAGTGTGCATGTGAAAAGTGCGGTTATTAGTATGGAAAAACTTGTAAAATATTGGTTATAGTTAAGTTGTGGAGAGTAAAGGTTAAGGTGAAGGTAAAGGCTGGGATTTTAGGTTAGTTCTAAGGTTAGGTTTAGTGATACGTTTGTTTATAATATTAAAACAATACAAGTAATATTTTAATGATGTTTGTTTATAATATTCGATATTATAACATTTCTATAATATATTTTATTATTTCGAAACTAATGATCGATTACTGATTTTTTTTATATGTATTGTATATCTTGTATTATTCGGGTTATTAAGAATGAAGATATTGAATTAATGTGTTAATTAATGTGTTATTGTACTGAAAGCATTTAATATAACGCGTACACGTAAAATGCATATAACTTTATAAAATGTTGTTTCAATACTTTTTGTTCATTATTTCATCATATATCATCCAATTCGCCACGTAGATTTGGTTCTCTTTCTGTTTATTCTTCGAATAACGTACCACTCACGTGCACATATCTATTTTTGTAGATCTGTTTGCAAGGAAAATTATATTATCTTTCTAAAAATGTATGCCTACCTTCAGAGATAGACTACATTTTTACGCTCAAAGCGTCGCGAGTTCAAATATTCGCAAATTATTTATTCATTATTCCTAATTTATCGCAAAAATACATAATTAATACGATTTTCGTATCGCTACGGTAATTTTTCTTTTTCACGAGGTTCCACGTGGCGTATAAGTAGAGGCAATATCTCCTTTTTATACAAGCACTTCCGCGTTCATTTCACTCAATTACGATTCCCCTTTCACTGAAGTTAACGCGAAGCGAGTCGCGTGCACTTTTACAAATCGGCAAAGTAAAATTCCTCGGGAGAAAAGTGATAGCACACCTTGTTTACTGCCGCTAAATAAAAAAAAAAAACTCGTTGCGTACAATCTCTCTGGCGCACGTTATACACTGAAATGCGTGCGCTAACTGCGCATGTGTCGCACGGATAAAATGAAATTGTCACGAAACTCGCACACAGTACGCACCGACCTTGCATGACGTAGTCAGGCGCAGCGGTTCTTTCACCGCTCGCAAGGGTGAGAATCAGGCCCTTTCATCGGAGCTTTCTAAACCGCACACGTGTTCTCCCCCTAATTGGACGCGGTTGTGTTAGATAGAGACACGGTACGCAAATTAATCATCCTGCAACAAACCACGCTACTTTGAGAAATGCAAGAAGCATCATTAATGATCGTTTCCTATCGATTATCGCAGGGTTTTCTCAATGTCTCTTACGTCTCGATGTAACGCGCACAGTTATCCTGGCTCTTCTATCCCTCTTCCGTACATAACTATGTCTTAATCTTGCCTGTAATTCTCGCTCAAGAGTCTCGAACAATATCTCAATTTCGTCGAGTGTTTTCTAACGTGACATATATTGCACGATTCGAATCAGACTTGAATCTCCCAGGTGAGAAACAAGTTTCAAATAATGAATATGCATACGCATCGGAGCGCACCATTTACTTCTGATTGCTGTTTCTTGATTAAAAGTATGTCTACAAATGTTTCCGCATTATAACTCTGTTCAAAATAAACGAAAAGTTACCTTGGATTCCATAAGAACTATTTTATATACATCATATTATTACATTAGGACGAAGAAATGTATAAAAAACATGCATGTTATTTTACACGACGTGTTTTTTATACATTTCTTCGTCCTGATGTAATAATATGATATATATAAAATAGTTCTTATGGAATCCAAGGTATTGTGACTTTTGGTTTATTTTGAAAAGTTATAATGTGGAAACATTCATAGATGTACTTTAATCAAGAAACAGCAATCAGGATTAAATGGTGAGCTCTGATGCGTATGAATTTTCATCATTTCAAACTTGTTTCTCATCTGGGAGATTCAAGTCTGATTCAAATCATGCAATATATGTTACGTTACATTTGCAATCGCCATTCTATTAGAAAATTCGCGCCCAACTTTTAATTACTAACTAAATCTTACTACGACACTTATGATTATCTCCTCCCTTATGACACACACATACACACACACACACACACACACAAATATATCTTATAACTTTATCTTGTAAGAATGCACGACAAGAATTGCACCGTACTTCCTTCGCGAGGCACGAATGACATTTTTCCAAACACTAAACTATATTTTCACGCTATTTGATATATAATTAACGTGCCTCTTCTTTCTAACTTTAACGCGGATTTCTCATTTCTCTTTGCAGTAACGTGTGTGCATCCTGTTTAAATGCTGCACTGCCTGCGGCGTAATTAACGTTGACCGAGGTACCAAAGAAAGTTTCAAGATTGAGCAGGTCGTTCTTCCACCTGGCGGTGACCTCGCCAAAATTTTGAGAATGCTGATGCCGAGTGCAGCGGGTCTTAGTGCCGTTGGTGCCGTGGGCGCAGTAGGGGCCCCAGGACCCGACGACCTCGTGCAAGGACTAGGGGCCTTAGCAGGAACCACACCGCAACAAAAGGATACGACTTTCACGAAACTTTTCGTCGGTGGTTTACCTTATCACACTACTGATAAAAGTCTCAGGGAGCATTTCAACATTTATGGGGAAATCGAGGAGGCAGTCGTCATCACGGACAGGCAGACCGGCAAAAGCAGGGGTTATGGTTTCGTAAGTATTCTAATTCTAAAAAGCCTTGTTGAGTTGTGTTTCTTTGTTTTTGGTGTGACGACAAATACACACGTGTACAATGTATAGTAAATAGTACTAGGTTGGTGCAAAAATAATTGCGGTTTTTTACCTATCGAGTATAAAGACGCATATATCAGTTAAAAATTATATTTATTAATCAAAATAAAGTCCATTGGCCTGCACACGTTTCTCCCAACGGGAAACAAGTACATGTTTATTCCTACAAGATGGAATTCTGGAAAAGATAACGGTAAGTAGAAAAAATCGGCGTTAAACTTAAAATGAACCGCAACTATTTTTGCATCGACTTAATAGAACAAATGTAACATCTACGGTTTTCGTTTCGGAGATTATTTCCCTACTTGACCCGACACGTACAAGTTGCGTTTCGCGCGAATGTCCGTCTTGTAATTATTGCGATTTTCGTCGGGGAATCAATAAGAAAGACTACCATGTACGAGAGTCGATAGCTGCTATTACAATTAGCTAATTAGACGAGTTGATGGTGATAACTTAATAGCTCGCGATATTCAACCTGTTTTAACGCACACTCATGCATACAAACGTGATCTCTTTCCGTTTGTGATAATGCCCCCTTTTTTCTCCATATACGTCGTATTTCCCATGAGTCTGCATATCTACTTCTTTGTACTGCCTACGCTTGCGTCATACGTATGCCGATAATATGGAAATGAGCAAGTCGTTGGCCGTATTATTCCTTGGCAGATTAACATCAGGACATGAGGCGTTTTCTACTATTCACATTGAAATTTCGCGAAATTGGACACTCGAAACATTTGTTAATCGAACATCTTTATTGGAATGAGAAGCTGACTCATTTGGAAAGCAATGGACTGCGTTTCGTGTTGATTGATCGACATACACCGTTGGATAAGCGTTTAGCGTTTTAGTAGTCCTATAAAATCTATCAGCCCTGATCCGTTTGTGAATAAAGTTAATTTTTATTGAATTATATGATATTTGTCTCGTAAAGCTCTCAGATATTTAATCGCTACGGATTAATTAAGAGTCGCTTAAAAATGTTGATAACGCGAGCAATTTCTTCCAATCTTAGTGATTGGTCCTTATAGCTTTTTAATTATATCACTCTCGAGGAAATGTATAAACGCGATGGCGATCAATTCGATACGCGTAAAACACACACAACTATCCGACCATTTTCTTGCCGGCTGGGAAATAATTGGGAAATAATCGACCATTCTGTATGCAGGTGATTATGGGAGACAAACCAGCAGCGGAGAGAGCATGCAAAGACCCCAACCCCATCATCGACGGGCGAAAAGCAAACGTCAACTTGGCCATTCTTGGAGCTAAGCCCAGGGGTAATTTGCAAGCGAGTAAGTGCGCTTTATCGCTTGCTATATTAACGGCTAGATCTGTCGATTCAAGTGTCGTGTTTCTTCGTTACGCGCATATTTCACGCTTTCGACATATTATCGATTGGAAGATACGTACGATCGCTGTTGAGCGGTTCGACACTCGGATATTAATCGGATATTAATACGAGTAAGCGTCATGGCGTATTAAATTCCGGTTACCAGGGCGAGTGAATTATTCCGGCAAGAGGGACGTGCATGTACTGCGCGACCTTTGTCTTCTATTTTCGGCAGCGATTCCTCACAGGGCCGGTGGAACACAGGTTCATGAAATATGTCCTGATTTTTAATCTAACCATTACTAACCGATTCAATAGCGGATTCAATCGATTATTCACGTTGAATTCTTCATGAAGTGGATATTGACAGGGCGGCATTTTGCGGCCGCGCTTGACCCTTCGCCGTGCGACCGTGCGGAATCTCGAGCGCGTTTCCTCAGCTATTCGGATCGCGCGACGGACTCACGATCGGAATCGATACTCGCGCGAGCGGATCGCGATCTGCCTCTTCCTCTCGTCCGGTCCTTGTGTTTTTGATTTTTGCGCGTCACAGTCACGAGCTTTACGTCGTTGACACAACGCCAGCTCTCCTCGGGAACGCGCGATCTTCTCGCGCGCATCTTGCACGCGGAGGATAATAATTCCGTCGCATTATTCATTGACCGCGCGCGTCCAAGTCTGACGAAGCGCGTTATAACCAAGACAATCGATCCTCGACGTTCATTGCTACGCTACGTGGAAAATATTGTGTCGCACAAACTTCTATCCTCTATTTTCGTACGTCGAGATGTATGAGAATAGTCCGCATTGTTGTTCCCGAGGCTTGCGTCCAACAGGCAGACGCGAAAATAGTTAGATGAAAAATAATCGCTGTTTAGGCAACCGATTCAGGCAAGTAATGAAACCTCGATTCGCGTCGCGGACGCGAAACGAAGAAGGCGAAAGACGGAACGACGATCAGCCAGATCGCGAAGTGTCCCCTGAGTCACTCTCTCGAACTCTCTCGGTGGCCTCGGGCCAAGATAGCTCGGCGCTTCGAGACCTAAGTCTAAAATTGCCTTAACCCGAGTACTGGGCTTGCTTCGTTTTTCTTTCTACCGACGCGCGAGGATTGTTTCTAGTTTAGCAAGAGTCGGGTGAGAGAGTGGGGTTTTTGAAGTGAAACGTCGGGTGCCAATGTGGACTGACGTATCTACGATTATTGTACACTGTGAGAAAAAAGATATCTGAAAGATAAAAATATATTGAATACTAGCGATATATATATATATGTATATGTATTTACTTATGTGTGTGGATATTTTTACACAGGGAAAGATTGTTTTCAAAGGAGAAAATATGCATTGTCTTGAAACCATAATCTTTTTCATGAAAGCAATTGTTCGATCTACTTAGATACAAGTGAACATGTTACTAGTATTCAGCAAATAAATATTCTTCATTTAGATATCTTTTCCTCTCAGTAATAACGCGAGCAAATGATAATTAAGAAAACGCTTATAAATTATAAATATAATATATACTTTTGTGTGACGGTTAAATAATTTATATATTCATGAGCTCAAGTATATCTCACCTGATTTACATTTATTATCTTATACGAGGGGATTTAAATTTTATATTTTCGCACACAAGTAGGATTTTTACAGAAGTTGAAAAATTAAAACTTGACTATGGCGTAATTGTTTCAATAGTAGCTAATGTTTCCATGCAGATATATACCATGGTATATATATATATATATATATATATATATATCACATCATAGTATGACGTAAAAGGCGAAACATATTCTCGATAAGGACGAGTTATTGTGATATATTCAGTTGCATGGCCATTTCGAGTTTATTGCACGCTGTAATGCACTCTGAGATAGCAAGCATGCCATCGGTGCCTCAATATGTAGGTTCGTGTGTCTACGTGTCTGCCTCTGTCTGTCTTCGTGTCCGTTCCTATTTGACGGTACGACGAGCGCATAGCGTATAACAATTATTAAGTGATCGTTAAGAAGCAGACAATTCCGATAACACGCTTGGATGAGTCGAGAGAGGGAGGTAGTGGGAGGAAGAGAGGAAATGACAAAATACGCAAATATTTGCTCGCTCTTTCAATTATGTATTCGCTGAATGATCGGAGCAGGTGAAGTTTTGTATTCACCATGAATCATGCAAGTTTTCAACTTATTCGCTCGGAAGATCTCAAACTCGTTATTTTCGAAATGATAATTTCGTACACATCGATTCGGTGGGATTTAACGGAACGCTGTGGCTCTATATTGATTATACTAATGAATAAAACATGGCCTTACTGGAAGATGACACAGATTTTCGACTAAAAATATGAACCAGTCTGACCACTCGTCCCGTTAACTTCGATCTGACACAATGCCGCTTTGCACGTGACGTTTTAACGAATTGTTAAATCCGCTGTGTTATTATTAATACGTGTTATCATTCGTGCTCGTATTTCTGTCAAATTCGTGTATTCTCGCTTCGGTAAATTATTCCCGAAAAATGAAAACATGCCGAAAGTCGAAAGGTCATGATCCGGAAAATCTAATTTCCGAGATATTGGGGGCATGCAATTGAATCATGAAAAAGTTGAGAAATCAACTTTGAGAAGTTGAGAGATCAAAATGTTGAGAAAACGCGATCACGGTATGATCTCATTGTATTACATTGCATTGCGATATATTGCGACTTCCTTTTTCCATAAAACGGTGTTGAAATATGACGATAGTTAATCTCAGAAACGAGAATCGTTATTGGCACTCTGGAAATAGCGAAGCGGTACTATTTCCAGGAAAATGATATCGAACAAATGATTTGCCGCGCGACGTAAAAGCGAAATGGTGAAAAATTCCGCGGGCATGCTCGATTGTAGCAACAGAAGCGGCAAAAGTGAGGTTTAATTATTGAAAACTTGAATTCATTAATTTTTTTCCTCTTTTGTGTGATTCCAGCATTCCCGTTCACTGCAGGTATCCGGGCTGGATATCCAGCAGTCCTTCCTGGGCAATATGGGTAAGTCACACTCAATTGATGTGCTTTGTCAAGGGGTATTAAGAACGTACATGTCGTAACTGGTAGTTAGATCAAAATAGTCTCTAAGTCGAGGAGAGAGTCTTCGCGATCTCGTTCGTAGCTGCATCGGCTACTAAATTTTCTCTCGCTGCAAATAAAAGAAATAAAAGAAAAAAGGAAAAAAAAACTAAACTTCCTCAAGCGCGTTTTTTCGTTCTCCAGAGCGGTCTTTCGGTTCTTGATGACCGCGTGAGCAAACTAAATTACACAATGCACGGATATTTGCACGGGATTGTAAAGACTTGCTAATTGGCAGAGTTTCGAAGATTTCGAGATCATCGACGCGTCCGCCGTTGATGGGAAACGAGAATCGAGAGTCTTTCGCGTTTTGCGGAACTTTTTGAGCCATCCTTGCAGCGAGCGCACGAAATATTTTGTTTGCTACCGCGCAGTCATCTCCCGGAAACGTTGGGGATGCGATTAAAATTAATAACGCAACGTTTTGAAAAGATAAATAAAAAAGAAAAAAAAAAAGAGAGAAAAACTAAAAAGGTACTCACTTAACGGAATCGAACGGTCGAATAGTTTAACGAGCCTTTTTTTTAAAGATACAATATATATAACGTTTCAGCATCCTGACGCTCGCGCGTAAGGAGACGAGCAGAGAGTCCTCTTTCCGAGATCCTTGAGAGGGCCAAGAGCCGTTCTAAGGACCCCATTATTTACGCGAAAGAGAGACAAAGACAGAGAAAGAAAGAGCGAGAAGGAAAAAAATATATTAGTGATCAGTGAAGTAAAGAAAGAAAAAGAGGGAGTGGGAGAGGGAGAGGGAGAGAGAGAGCGGCACACGCACACGTATCAGAAACCAGTATGAGTACCTACGAATTTCTTTCCGTGAAGTATATAGCGAAGATCTTCCGGGGATCGGCCTGTACTTCTTCTCCTAATGTACTTTTCTTTGATTGTGGTTTTTTGTTACTTTTTTTCTTGGTGAAACTGACGTGAAGTGATGACAATGATTGCGGTTGCTGAGAGATTGATGCGATTGTTTGTTACTGGTTTTTTAGTTTCTTTTTTTTTTCTTAATTTCATATCTTCACACTCTTTACACTCTTTTTTCTTAATAAGCATCATATTAATAATGATAATCGTAGTGATAATAATATCGCAGTATACCGATAGAGCTGTTACCTCTTCGACTTGGCACCACCGCTCAGTAGCCTGAAAATGCACAATACATGATTTTACACGACAAAGTCGATATATGCCAACAAATCGACAGCCTCTCGTTTGCGACGTCAGAAAGCGAGATGAGAGATAATAATTGCTGTGTGACACGATTCGCAAAATTTCGTATATCGGGTATACTAAACTACTTGAGAAATCGCGCAGCGCTTTGCAAATCTTCGAGTATTATCTCGAAATGCCGAGGAAACGTAAAATCTGTCAAGTAAATCGTCCTCTGTTACTTATTGAGCGCAAATTGAAATGAAAAATACGAGATAGTGTCGATTAACGCGGTTATCGATAACGCGAATTGTGGTAAATTACGGTTGGAAATTATCGCGAGAAAGTCGTCACGAGCGGTGTCCTTTCCCGAGGTAGTTGTCAACAATACAAAATGTTTTCTTTTCTTTTTTTTTCTTCACTTCGCACCATACCCTCGAGAGTCGTGCATCTTTCGGCAATTCGATTCTTTATTTTCACGCTCATTTGTATATATTGTACCCTGTTGATTACATGTTGCTGTCTTGGTTTGCATTTGGTGGTGGGAAATACGCTGAAACGCTGCAAGAATAACATTTTCCAATTTTAGACCTTCGGACTTTCGGACCTTAGGTACGGCTTTCCGAGTCGCGTCACTTCCTCTCGCGTCTTGGGGTTATTTGTCTGTTAGTCGAAGCGAGATACTTTATTGGACGGCTTTTGCGCGCTAAAGTTGATCTCCACCCGCGCGCGTCCGATCGGTCCCGATTGCACTGTTTAGAACGAGAGAGAAGCGTCGTAGAAGAGAAAGAAACGCGAGAATGCCGCGTGAAAAAGCCGGGATAGTTGGGGAGATTTCTTCGTTAAATTAACGCAAGCCAAGGAAGAAGCGTATCTGATCCATCCAGATCCGCGAGCACAAACCGTCCGGCCGTTGCTTATAAATATTTAGTCTTTCGGGGTACGTAGACCATGCAGACTTCTCTTCACGCTTCGCGTTCGCGCGCTCGCCTTTCGTGAGACGCCTTTCGCGATTCCACAAGAACAAGAAACGAGCATACGGCGGTCCAGAGAGAATAGAGAGATGAGAAGCGGCGGCGGCGGCGGCGGCGCGCGCGCGCGCGCGCGCGTTGGAATTCGGTCGAATAATAAGGAACGCGGCCGATTTCGCGGACCGTGAGATTCTCCTCCTCACGGGAGGGGGTTCTCCGCCGGAAATCGACCGGCACCGAGACACGAACGGTGTGCGTTAATTTTTCATCACCCTGCGATCGATTCTATCGTGCTTCACCTCGTTTGGCCCGGCAGATTCTGCAATGCTACACGAAAATTTCATCGAGTACGGACGACACGCGTGATAGACTTGATTGCACCAGCAAGGGGAAAGGGGGAGCGGAGGGGAGGGGGGCAGAAAGAGAAAGAGAGTCTCGATTCGATCTCGTCTTTTTCGAGAAAAAGAAAAGAAATTTCCTTCTCGCTGATTCGCTGTTCCCGTTTGGATTACTGGTCTTATCTGTGGCACAGGCAGGCGAAAGAAATTCAGTCGAAGCGACTGTGGTGCAATCGAGCCGCGGACGAAGGGAATCGCGCGCGGTTGGGCCGGATAGGAAAGAGAGAAGAGCGGCGGTTTTGCAAAATTATTTCCGGCAGGCTGACACATCGCGCGTTTCCGAGTTGCAGGACGGGAGCGCGACGTGATATAGATACGTTCCTCCTTGGAATGCGATAAAAGGTCGATCGAAGTGTCTTCCGTGGAATACGGATGCCAGTCGAGACTGCGTAGGATCCGCTAACCACTATATAATATTAATAACCTTGTGTGTGTGGTGAAAGCTTACACTACACTTGGTGTCGCTATTGGTGTTGTATTTCTTTTTCTTTTACTTCTTTTTCTTTTTTTTTTTGGTGTTGTACGTGGGTGATTTTTTTGGACTTTTAAATAACACGGTGTAGCTCTCTGTCGTGAGACAATGGAACACACACGGTGTATCTCCTCTCTCTTCTTTCCGTTTTTTTTTTTTTATTATTTGTAATTGATTACTCGCGGGCAGTTGTCGTTTGCAGAGCATGATCAAGCGTAGGTATAACGGCCGTTATCGGTGCGCCCGCTGAAGAGGAAGAAGCAGAAGAAGAAGAAGAGAGTGCGATGCTTCTTGCGATTATTACTCGCGCCTTTATTGTTCGCGACTGTGGAAGAGAGAGAGAGAGGGAGAGAGAGAGAGAGAGAGAGAGAGAGAGAGAGAGAGAGAGAGAGAGAGAGAAGAGAGGGCACAGTCGCAACATGGACGGCAAAACTTTCGCGGGGTTTAATTTTTCTTTTTTTTCTTTTCCGAGTCGCTCGTCTCGAGCGGCGGTGTTCTCTTACGAAGAAATCCGAGACCTCCCTTTCTCCTCGCTCGTTAATGGGAGATCGCGGGAGACGTCCCGACACTTTCCTCGTCCGCGGGGAAATGGATCGCGTGAAAGAAATGTGAACAACGCGCGAAGAGAGTCCGTTTTTCATTTTTTTTTTGCCTACCGCTTTTTTGCGATTCAGTGGCGGGCCCCATGCAAAGGTCGAGAGTGACTCTCGCGTAAAGGCTGATTCTCATTATCCGTTTAAGCGACGACGGTTTGGACGGAATAAAGGGAACTGTCGCCTGCCGCCGCACAATGGTCAAAACGGCCGAAAACGTGGCCAAAACCCACTTTTTAAACTTTTTTTTAATCATTATTATATCATATTTTGTTAATTCTAAGTCTTTTCTAGACTTCTGTAAAGATATATTGCAAAATAATTCCATTTATGGGAGTTACGAGTACACGAAGTTCATGAAAATCGCAAGTCTCTTATACGATTTTAGGAGCTACAATCAGTATGACAATTGTGATTCCATTCACAGGATCGCCACTACATCAGATCATTAGACTTTTTCATCGATGTTTAGTTGTATGATTTATGCTTCTAATAACACTGTTATTTATTAAATTTTCGTTGCAATTAATATAAATATATGCTTCCTGAGTAAAGCAAAATGGAGCTGTTGTGTAAAATGTAACTCTAATTAAGAATTGCGATTCAAAGTCCCCGTTATGAACCGGTGCTATGACTCTTGCAGAACTTAAAATGTAATGATACATAGAAATAACTAAGAAAAAATTTGTCTACGCCAAACTGCGCCGGAATATTGTAATCGCAGCATGAAGTTGGGAAGAAATTGAGTTTCGGCAATTTGCCGAAACTAATTTCGGCTAAAACTAAGAGCAAATATTCTTCCTGCGATATTTTTTTAACCAATTGTTTTTTATCTGTATTTTTTATTCTCAGCCGAAGTTTAGAATATTACCTCTACCATAATCTTCTGAATTATTTATTTATAAAAATTTCACAACGTTGAACAACTTTTTTTTGTGATCGAAAATATTCTCTGCATCTTATTTAGAAATATCCAGTAAGGTTAATTCAACAAAATTTTTGTTTGCATTGCAAGGTAATTAATTTTTTAATTGATCAAAAGAATTTTTTATTCGTGCAATAAAAAGATTCCGTTAGAACTGAGTTTCAATTGAAACATTAAAACATTAAACATCGATGAAAAAGTCTAATGATCTGATTAAATCCTCCTAAAATCGTATAAGAGACTTGCGATTTTCATGAATTTCGTAGTCGTACTCGTAACTCCCATAAATGGAATTATTTTGCAATACACCTTTACAGAAGTCTAGAAAAGACTTAGAATTGACAAAATATGATATAATAATAATTAAAAAAAATGTTAAAAACATGGGTTTTGACCACGTTTTCGGCCGTTTTG